GGCAACTACTTTATAACATGACTTAAAGCTCACAAGAGTCCATTTTGGGTAATGTAGGACCTTTAAAAACAACTGCACAACTCAAACTGGTGAAATATGCATGCTGATGAAAACATAGAACACAATATGGACACACCCACTACCACCAGTTATGTTTTTATGACAACATATGGGCCAGTAGATTTTTTAAGGTGGACCTGTGCAGTTCTCCTCAGCTCCTCGAGTCCTCTGTCTAGCTAGTGTCTGCCTCCGTATGGCCTTTGCAGCGTACCTCCAGAGCAGGGCTGTAATTAGGATTATTTTAAGAATGTCCGAGAATCCAGTGGTTAGAGAGAGAGAGGGAGAATGTGTGGTGCAGCCCTGAACCCTGCTGCTTCAGAGTAAGGTGAACACAGAACTGCATTCCAGTCTGTCCAACAGGAAACCAGCCTAACTATTCCAATCAAACAAGTGTGACTGTGCACCACTGTGGCTCCACCAAGACCAAGAAGGGACTGCATCAACTGGCTGAAAGTGGCAGGTTTTCATGTTTTTCTGATTATTATGATTATTATTATTGATGGGGTAGTACCTATGGTTAAACAGGCCATATTACACTATTTTCTGAGGTATGTTAAAATGTTGTTTCCTCATCAAAAACAAACCTGGTGTTGTGTTTTGTTTCATTCACATGTTTAAAACACAATCTTGCATATTTAGTCTCTTTAAAGTTCTTCTCTCAGAAAAAAAACACTCTGTTCCACCTTGTGATGTCATGTGGTAATACAGGAATTGGAATTGCCACTGAACAAAAGCCAAAAGGAAGCTGTTAACCTTAAAACTACCTCTTCGTGACATCATAAGGTGGAACAGAGCATTTTGAGCTTTGGAGATGTAGACAATAATAATTAAGATTTCTTCAAACATGTGTGAATGAAACAAAACACAACTCCAGGTATGTTTTTGAGGAGGTAACAGCATTACAACATGGCTCACAGTTCACAAGAGTCAATTTGTCATAATAGGAACTTATTTATCATACTTTTAAATCAGATTAATGTGGCCCTTTTTTACATTGTGTTTGGTAGGTAATAGTTATGTAATGACTTCTGTTATGTGATGTCAGCTGCCAGTGTCCAACCAGGAAGTTGAAATAAAACTTAAAAAAAAAAAAAAAAAAAAAAAAAAAAAAAATAAAAATCTGTTAAAAAAAAAAAGTAATTATGTTAACTATGTGAAATGGGCAGTGTAACCTGTCATATGCACTTTAAATCTAAATGTATGTGTTTGTTCAGCAGTTTGGCTAACCATACCTCTGCACAATATTTATAGAGCAGACTGGTTTGGGTGCAACAATAGTCAAATCTCATGATACATTAAAGATGTATTGTGTAACTTTTCTGGAAGTGGGTCCATCAAATGCTTTTCTCCATGGAGATGTTATTGCTTTGTCTGGAATGTTTCACAGTATAGTTAAACCTTTCTGTCTTCATGGAGACCAAACCAGATCAAGTTACAGGTCAGATCTGTGGAGAGGTGACCCCGCTCACAGTCAGAATGCCTGTGTTTCTTCGTATTTGAGCTATAAAACCACTGTAATTGAATAAATGTAAGGTAGAGCTGTTTAATGTGATACTGTGGAACATTCCAGGCAGGCCAGTGCTGACATTTCCATAGAAACAAGCAGGTTACAGACCCTCCACTAGAAAAGTTACACAGTTCACCATTACCATTACAGTATAACCCGTATTGTTAGGGCAGGGGTCATCAAACTAAGGCCCGCAGGCTGACTCTAGCCCTCCATGCCCCTTTGACCGGCTCTCTCAGTCCCTCTGCCCCCACCATTTTATTGGCCCAATGAGGCAATCCTCAAAATTTGTAATGACTTTTATTTAAATTACTTTTTGGTAAATAATAACACGTCTGCATCTTGTATTTTGTTGATTTTTTCAATTAAAAAATTATATTTATTTGAAGTATTTATATTTGCTGCCTAATTTTCGTCACCTGACAAGCTCGAGATCAAACAGTGACAGCCAACGCATGTGCAGAGTTCTGTAGTGCAGTTAAGGACAGCAAAATATCGAGTGTTAAAGTACGAAAAGTTGACAGAAAGTGCTGAGTTTTCAAAGAACAGTGGACGACCGATTATTTTTTTGTTCAGTGTAAGGACCATGCAGTTTGTCTGATACGTAAAAAAAAGTGTGGCAGTTTTTAAAGAATATAATCTGCATCATCAGGGTTATACAGTTCTGTTATTCAGCCGACCCAACCCCAGCCCCCACCACAAACAGAAGCAATAATGTGGCCCCAAAGAAAAAAAATTGGTGACCCCTGGTTTATGGGGTCCTGACAACAATACAGAAATTCTGGTCACCTGCTTGTCTCCATGGAGATAGCCTGCAGATGAAAATAAGTCTAATGCCTTAATGTGGAACATTTGAGGGAAAGCAATAATATCTCATGGAGACAAGCAGCTGGCAAAGTCACATACTGCATCTTTAAAGGTATGAAATGACACAAAATGGATTCTTGTGAGCTTTAAGTCATTTTATAATGTTGTTACCTAATCAAAAACATACCTGAAGTTGTGCTTTTTGTTGTTTGTTTCATTCACATGTTTTAGTAATCGTTTAATGTTAGTCTGTCTACATCTCAGAAGCTCAAAGTGCTTTGTTCCACCTTGTGATGTCATGAAGTGGTTCTTTCAGGTTAACAGCTTCCTTTTTAGTCCAGTAGAGATTGGCAATTCCAGGGCTGAAATCATCCAAATGGTTCTAGTGAAGGTGTATGGAGTTTAAAAGCACAGTGGAGCACTTCCTGTATTACCACAAGACATCACAAGGTGGAGCAGAGTGTTTTCTGTTTGAGAGAAGAACTCTAAACCTAAAAATGCAGGGTTTGTGTGTTAAACATGTGTGAATGAAATAAAACACAACTCCAGGTACTGTATGCGTGTGATCACATAGACCAGAAATTAGCATAATATAAACCCTTTTAAATAGCTGACAATACTCGGAAAAATGATTCTCAGGGGAAAAAAATGAGTCTTTGGAAAAATGACTTTAACTTTGATATTGCAACACCACACAATATTGCTAAATCCCTGTCTCACTTCTTTTACTGAGCCATGGTTAAATGGAAATGATGACTTCACAGCACGGAGGCAGAATTTGTCTTTACATCTGGGCCAAGCAGGTGGTAAAAAGTTTGCAAGTAAAATAGTACCCCAGATTTAAGCTTTTCTACTTTTCACAGGGACTTTCCACTTTTCCAGCAAATATATTGAGAAGTGGTTTTGTATTAGTGTTCTTGATGATATTCAAATTCAGGAAAACTCTCTGGTCTCTGAGAGTGAGGAATAACTGGACCACTGTAAACCATTTAAAATTAACTAGTTCTGTAAAAATCAGGTACAGCACCTTAAATAGTGATAGTAAGAGAAATTTCGATACTATAAAAAAAAATGCGGGGGTTAAATTAATACTTATATAAAGCAAGACTCTTCTAAAACTACTCAGGAAAGGTCCAAATTTGTTTTCAGTATCAGTACTTGTCCAATTGAATATAAACAATTTAGTATCAATTAGTATTAGAAACAAAATAACATCAATTATAAACCCATTTTACCCATCCTACACAACATAAGATTTATACAATGTTATGTCATCCTTAAAAACATTGAGTTGTGTTTTGTTTCATTCACACATCGCATTATTACAAGTCTGTCTACGTCTACAAAGCTCAAAATGCTAGTTCAACCTTGTGATGTCATGTAGTGATAGTTTCCAAGTTAACAGCTGCCTTTAGTTCAGTAAAGATTGCAATTACAGGGCTGAAATCATCCAAATGATTCTAATGAAGGTGTATGGAGTTTAAAAACACAGTGGAGCATGTCCTGTATTAGCACATTACATCACAAGGTGGAAGCAGAGTGTTTTCTGTTTGAGAGACGAACTCAGAGTTTGTGTGTTATGTGTGAATGAAACAAAACAAAATTCCACATGTTTGTGATAAGGAAACATTATAACATAGATCAGAAAATGACACAGTATAGACCCCCTTCATTGTTTTGTCAGGCGCTCTTTTCAAAACCTGGATTTCTCAACAGTAGGATTTATAGAGGTTTAACTTGGACATAACTTTGCAGTAGCACCTCTCTGACCTTCCTATAGGCAGTCACTGGGTGTGCGTGGATGACCCCCAGGGATGAACAACTGAACTGCTAATGTAAACATAACCAGAGCATAGCACTTAGAAGCTTTGTACTGGTGTTGACCTAATCTTAACTGAAAGTGCGCTAACTCTTATTCGTGGAAGTGGACACACCCTTTTGCTCCACTGTGGGAAACGCGCCAGGGCCATTGCATTCCAGCTGATAAGAGCATGAGAACAGTGATAGAGGTCCAGAGCACGGCCAGGCTCCTACAGGGAGGGACTTCAGACAGAATGCACAGGGGTCATTTCAAGCAACACTTCATGCCTGGAGGAGGTGCTGAAAGTACAAAATATCTTTCTCTAAATGCAGTACTTGATTCATGATTAAGGTTGTCAAAAATAAAAAATCAGATACTAAAATATACTAAAACTAGTATATAAACTATAGAAACTCACTTTAGAAGGTATCAGGTATCAATTTTTAAAAATCTAATTAAAGGAACTGTATGTAGCCTGAACTCTAGATATAACAAAAGATATAACAATCACAGTTGAACCTGTGTTGCCAGTGCCTTAACCTACAGATAAAGGATATATACAAGATTTTCTCAGTATACGGACACAATATGCCTCATGTGAAAGCTCAGAACCTCCACAATTCACTCAATGAGCTGCAGAGGTTGCACTAGCACTGCTTCATGATTGGCTGCAGGTGCTGGCGATTCAGATCAGAGAAAGTCCTTTTAGGTTTAAACAGACAGTATTTTTGACATGGATGTCGTGTGAGGCTCATACTCCTTTCTGACTGTATAATCATCTTGAAAATTAAAACAACAAATTATAACATAAACAACTTGACCATCGTGCTTAATGTTTTTTGTAATTAAGAATAAATCAGCATTACAATTGTTATTGGTAAAATAAATATATGATTTTTTTCCATCTTCATCTCTGGGGACACAGTTGGAATTCACGGAATTCTTCTGGTTCTTCTGGTATCATATTCAGTAAAAAGTATCGAGTCTATTCCTATATTCAACTCAAATTTGAGATGAAAGTTCAAAATTTCAGTATTATAACACTGTTCGCAATGTCATACATTTTGTTTAACAGATTGTTTAGAGGGAATAACAGAGAATCATATGCAGTATGGACTGTTTTCAGGCTGTAAACATGATGAGTTCATGCTTTCAGATGCTATTGTTTAGATTATAATGAATGAGAAATACACAAAAAAAGGTCCCCAAATGTTGAATCTATTATTTACTCCAATGGAGTGGTCCAAATACATCCCAGTACTGTAGTGATGTCATATAAAACACATGTGATGATTTGTCATTGTTAGATTATATATGGTGTTCTGGTACATGGATAACCCTTAAAACCAGTGTTAAAAGTTTACCAAATCAATATTTTGATTTTGCATAATGCACTGGAGTTTCATGTTCACAATGGCCTTCCAATCAGAATCTTCAGATCTTCAGAATTAGTCCCATTTTAAACACAGCAGATCCACCTTTCATGCAGTTGTCAGTGGATAAATAAGTGTATAGTTTTGCAATTTCTAATGAATTTATGTTGTTTAAAAGTATCAATATCCATCTTGATAAACGTATTGTCAAGAAGTCGGTACTGATATTTTGAGTACCTTTCAAAAATATGATATATGAGGTTTATTGCCATGGCAACATGCCTTGGTTTTAAAGATGCTTGAAACCCATGAATACTTCACAAAATACAATGTAATACAGTTGTAGATTAACTGCATCCCCTCATCTCAAACAAGCCTATTAGAGTGTGTGAATTTGTGGAGTAATCTGGACCATTACAGTTGTTGGTACAGTACATATCATTTCCTTAGAAAAAAAAAAAAAAAAAAAAAAACTAAAATGACTTGTCCATAACTTCATTTCTTCTGCACATTATTTTTGGTCCTTAGAGATTCTAGAAGCCCTTTTATCCTCTCACTGGCAGGTTCAACTTTTCTCTTCTTCCTGCGCTTGACGGCAGAGATCTGAGAGGGCTGGAGCAGTGTGGTGAGGGTTCCTCCGCTCTGCATCATCCACGCGCTCTCCTGACACAGGGACACGAAACGCTCCAGCTGAGCCGTGTTGACGTTCTTACTAACATTCAAGGAAGTCTCAAAGGGGTTCTGGATGTACAGGGGCCCCAGCTCCGGCTTGTGCTCCTCTTTACCCTGTCAGATAAGAGATAAGAGAGTGTGTGATTAGGACTTCACAAGCTATCGCAGGACTATTGGTTCTGCGGTTTGGATGGTTTGGGCTGGAAAAGTTATGTGAAACACTATCTAACTAAATGTGAGTGAATAATATTAGAATTACTTTTTTTTACATCTTTGACTACAGAAAATCTACTTCTTTAAGCCTGGTGAACATAATTCTCTTAAGTTAACTTGTGTTTTACATAAGATTAAAATTTTTATCAAAATAGTTCCTTGGTTTCCTTACAGCTTTTACACACATTTAATTTAAGCCCTCACTGCATTATTCTCTGCACAACAGTCACTGCAACAGAGTGGTCAAGACTTCAACTACTACAGCCCTCTTTTAACTATGCACTTTAGGTTTGATTTATTGTGACGTTTACTGAGGTGGTTCAGGTGTTACAGTGCCCTCTACAGGAAGCAGTTTGATATTGTAACAAAGATCCTGTCAGAAATTACAGTAAAGAAAGTAGGTTTTAATACCTTTCTGATGTTGATAGACATTCTGTTGAAGAGAAACGTGCTGTAAAACTCAAAGAAGTCACTCAGCAGTTGATCTGAAGCAGAAAAGGGTAGTTAGTAATAGTATTAGGGCTAAATGTTTTGGCTCAGTCCCACCTAATGACTCTGTATTGGGCTCCAGCTGAATCTTGTCGAAGTCACTGGTGAACGTGCAGTCATTTCCATCTATGATACACTTCTCTGAGGGCTCTGAAAGGAACAGCATTTTAATTGGATTAACTTAGACACAGGATCTATTCTCTTATGATATTTGGATCTACACTGCTTCAGAGTACATAGGCTTACCTGCAAGCTCTTTAAGGCGGTCGAGTGTGGGGAGAATGGGGGGGTTTCTCCTCTGGAGGAAGAAGACCACCATGAGGGTCAGGGAAAAGTTGGTGATCCAGGCTCCGGGGATGGAGCTGGTGACACCATTAGCTCGAGCCCAACAGCGTACAGTGAAGACCAGAGCCCGCACCCGAGGGTCCAGCTCTCCGAGCAGGTACAGCATCTCAGTGCTCCGCATGGCCACCCTGACAGAAAAAGCATCAAACTCAGCATTTTTTGTAACCTCTGCTTTAAGGCTGGAGTTCCTTGCTTCCTTCTTGTTGTTTTTTGTGCCCATGAGGAGTATATGGCAAAAGCAGCTAGCTCTATCTGCATTTGCATTTTACTGTGACATATTGAGAACTATTTTTGATGGGAACATTAAAAAATTACAAGAAATACGAGAGATAAAATTAAAATCGAAATCTTATCACATTAAGCATTCAGCGGAGTATTTCAGGACTGAAACCCTGGCAATCATTCAGTGAAATCTAAAAATAAATGATAAAAAACAAATGTCAAAATGAAGGCTAATTACAGCCAGTTTGCACCCATTACATACTATGTTTTTTATTGTACAAGAAAAAGGAGTCTCTATGTTACAGAACTGTAGTAATATATGTCAAATGAGTATAGACCTGTTGTTGGCGGTGAGGTCACACTGAAAGCCTGAGGGCTGGTGGGTGAAGCGGACCAGAGGACAGCGAGCATTTAGGATCTTCTGCACCCCCACACAGCCTGGACCAAACTGTTCTAAGCACTCTGCAATGACTGACAGCACGCTTTGAGTTACCGCTCGCTCCGAAGTGGCCCTCTTCATGTGGTACTCCACGTACATGCCAGACTGGGGCTGTGAACATAAACAAAGTACACTCAAGCCATTCTGGTATCAATAAAGGAAAAATATCATGCTAAATTGCCTTACACCTACTGGCCTACTTATGTTCTGGTTTAGGCCTATCTTAAACCTGAATTAGACCTGGTTTAATACCAGATTAGATTTGATTTAAATCTTATGTCCAGACCAGGTATAGTCTTTGTTTTGTCCTGATTTGGTCCATGGTTAACTACTGGTTTAATCCTACAGATTTTGGGAATTTCAGGGAGATTTTTTCACCCACCTGGTTCTTGGCCAGCCCCGCAGCAAGTTTTTGCTAATGATTATTCATTATAATAGATTACAGCAGCTTATACCTGACAGAAATTTGCTTATGAGCTTTTGCTACAGCAACGATCGTGTTTGTCTGGCCCTACGTGGCACATGCCTGGATTGGAATTGGGGGAAAAAACGCCCACCCTTGACATAGCAAATAATGATGGTTAAGTACAAGTTCAGTCCAGGTGTCCTGGTTCAGTCCTGGTGCTATCTTAAGTGTAGTTCTGGTCTAGTTCCAGTCCTGGTGGAATTTTGAAAGCCAAATACTATCTGTGAAAACACTGAGAATACTAATAGTCTAAAACAATTACCATATTTGAGCTGCCTGCACTAATGGCATCTAGGTCCAAAAACATATCGAGGTCACAGCCCAGCTTCCCAAAGCCGTTGACAGAGGATCCAAAGGGCCTAATGGAGCTCTCTGGGAAATAGGCAGCAGAGATGTCATTGAGCAGAGAGCAGACCAGGAAACGCAGACGACTGTTCTCCTCCGTCAGTGAGTGGGCTTCTGTCAGGGACATGATCTGCTGCTCCAGCTGGGTCAACAAAGAGCAAACTTTTCACAATAAAGACATGGAGGGCAGCAAAGATGAGTTACATGGGAGTTGAGAATTAGCACTAGTGGCTACTAACTCAACTGTTTTAAAGCTATGTCTGATTGCATTTGGGCCTGTAATTACATTCAAATAATTACTGTGTTTAATTTCTTCTATTTATTTAATGCAGTTTATTATTTATTTTTACAGTATTATACAATTAAAATTGTTTTTTTAAATAATCCTTAAGGCTTCTGGTGCTAGTGGCATAGTTTCAATACTATCCTTTATCGTCCATGTTATCTTAAACAATATATATCGCATGTCAAAATGTGTTATCACGACAGGCCTAATTGCAATGTCTGCCAAAATAGATGGAATAACAATAGCATAATAATAGTGTTAAAGGTGCAGTATGTAATTTTCTGGTGAAGAATCCACTACATAACACAGAGATGTTATTTCTTTGTCTGGAATGTTCTACAATATACCTTTAAACTCACCTATTTCAGAATTCCAGAATTCATTTTAATTAATTTAGCAAACTTTACTCTTGTGAATTTTAAGCCATGTTAGAATGTTTTTACTTTACCAAAAACATACATGGAGTTGTGTTTTGTTTCATTCGCATGTTTGAGTAACCCTTTATTATTAGTCTGCTTGGTTCCACTTTGTAATGTCATGATGCAGTAGTTATCAAATTAACAGCTACCGTTGAGTTCAGTAGTGATCTGCAATTCTAGAGCAGAAATGATCCAAATGATTCTAGTGAAGGTGTATGGAGTTTAAAAACACAGTGAAGCATTTCTTGCATTACCACATAACACCATAAGGTAAAACAGAGTGTTTTCTCTTAGAGAGAAGAACTCAGTCTAAATATATGGGGTGTATGTTAAACATGTGAAACAAAACGCAACTCTCTGTATGTTTTTTTAAACAACATTATAGCATAAATCAGATAATAGCGTAGCATTCATTCTTACTTAAAGAGGCATAGCATCAGCCAATTCACCTTTTTGTATAAGAAGTGAATTGTATCTTATCTACCCTCCATCACAAACTTAAACTACAGACCCCTAAAAATTAACACCACCGATCATCTTCACTTACATTGTCGCAAGAGGACAGCTGCTGGATGAGCTCGTTGATGGACACAGTTCTCTGGGGCTGACACTGGGGAATGTTCTTTATGTCTGTGTTCACAGTGTTGATGCTTCGTAAGGACAGTAGTCTGGACCTCAAAGGCACTACAGATTCATGACTGATGCTGGGGATAGTTGCACTGTCAAGAAGAGATTGCACCCCGTCGTTATCTGAAAACTCCACCACAGCATAGGTGCCCTGGAAAATAAAACATCCAAAGTGTTAATTTTCACTACAACTACGACTATGACTCCAACTACTACTACTACTACTACTACTACTGTAGTCACAGCTGCAGTCAGTCTGATCATCACCAGTCACTCATGCCCACACAACACACAGGGTAAGATTAGTGTCTTACCTAAAGACACAATAACAGTATGCGGCTCCTTCAGGTTGGTGGACAAGTGCTTGGTCAACTTTAGCCACTGGAATCCAAACATTGCCTATATTTACACCAAGTCTGACCATTATCTGATTTCTGGAGTTGTCAGATTATTAAAATTTCATGTAAACAGTTACATATTATGTTGTATAGCAGCAGTTAGATCCTCATCTTATTTTTTCTAATAACATAGGACATAGTAATTTAAATTTAATACTAAGACTAAAGCAGGTCCTAATATATAGTACTTCTTGGACATAATAAGTGTCCTTGGACATAATACATCATAATGACGTTCTACAATTGGGGGTGGTAAGCCTCTATTACAGTCAGAACTTCCTTGGATTAGACTGGTGAAAGCTTACTTGTGCAGACACTACAGACTAGGTAAAATGTCTTGCCTAAGGACACAATGACAGTATGAACCTCTGACCTTCAAGTGCTTGAACCACTTGAGCCACTGGAATCCATGATGGCAATGTTGAAAATCTGATTTCTTTCTTATTCAGATTTCGACAAAGGAAATTATGCAATAAAGATGTTGTATTGATACACTAGTAGATGAGTGAGTAACACTTTACTGTTTGTGATTACTTGTGAAATCTTTGTAATTTGACATTTTTAACACTCATGACCACTTCCATACTGTTGTCATTCAGTATTACTGTTAATATTCCTCCATGACAGTCAGATAATGCTTTACTTACAAAGCTTTCATAGAAGAAGCATTTGTTGACATGTCCGTGTCTGGACAGGTAGTTGAGGAACTTATTGTGGTGAGTTTTGGGGAGACAGCTGATCAGGACCGACCTCTGCCTCTGCTCGACGCTCTGCTTGAAGGACGTGCAATGCCTTTGGTGTGTTCTTCTTTTTCACTAAGAATGAAACAATATGTTGTTCATTTTTAAGTACACATATTGGTGGTAATTTGTCAGAAGAGTTCAGATAAAAATTGGTCCATTCACGGAAGATATGGATGATTTAAACACTTCCTTTTGGAAACTGTGTGTAATACAATGGGAATTCTATAGTTCTGATTTGAAGTGGAAATGTGTGAAATTATGCCTTCTATAACAATATAATTACTTCCCTATAACAATTTGGTAAGTTTTCTAATAATATAATACATATTGATTTCTGAAGCAGGTTCCAAAATACATTAGATTGGATCGGCGTTTTTGTCAATAAAACACAAAAGGTCCAAACCAAATGGTATCCACATATTCAGTGTAGGGTATTCTTTGCCTGCATGGTCGTCTGTCAGACTTTTATTGGACTGAACATTGAATCACCATCTTACATACACTGCAACATAAACCGGGACCAGCGCTTTACCCACCTCCCTCGTCCTTCGGTGAGCCCTCGGCCCGTGTTACGTCTACACCAGCTCGGGTAGAGAACAACGCTTCAAGCTTCTGGAGACATTTGGCATGACATTTTCTTTCCCTCACATTGAACCAGCGCATTGCAATGGACGTCGCCATTGTTGTTGTGACATAAACGGGAGGACGCATGCGCCAAAACGTCTTCGTAGCCCTTTACTGCCCCGCCCTGGCGCGACAGATTATTACACACTGCTGAAACACACGGAGCTCATGATGCAAAAATGAGAGTCATCGTTTACCAGTAAAAAAATAAAAATAAAAATAATAACACACTCCCATCCACTCACACCTCCCCCGCACCCCAGCAGTGTCCTATCCTCTACTATCCTCAACTGACAATACCCTCCTCTATCACTAACCCTGGATAGATCTATTGTCACTGGCCCGCTCTGACCCCTTTCTTCTCCTCCTCTCACCTCGGTCCTGTCGCCTCCTCTCACTCTTATTAGCTCTCTTTCTGGCAACGAATGTCGATTTCATTTTTTACAAATGTCCATTTCAATAAAATATTCATTTCTGATTCAAGTTAAGACTTTGAACTGTTCCAAAGCAATTCGGTGATAAATGACTGTGTTGTAATCCCCTCCCTATCCTCCAGTGTATGAGGTTGATTGTTGAAAGTGCACCGTGAAGGGGGCTGTGCTGTGCCTGAGTGCAGGCGCACCAGTACCATCTGTCAGCGCGACTGGACCGGTCTGCTGTGAGGAGGTGGCCGGGGTGGGGAGCTGTCGGCGCTGCCGAGCATCTTGGGAAAGTCATTGAGTTCTGGTAAAAAGGATGAAAACGATGAGCGGTCACCAGACGCACCGATGCCAGCTTTGACTGGGGGGACATCGGCACTCATCACCGGAGCACTGCGGGCTCTGTGTCTGCCACAGCCGCAGAGCGCACGGCCCCCCGCTGCCTGCTGCCGTCCAGAGCCCCGCACTGCTCTTACCACAGCTCGCTTCACCCTTTCGGTAATTCAGCCAATACAAGGTAAGATTTCTGTTTCTGTATATGTTTTCTGATCCTGAGTCCACCTGTAGACTAACCTCTAGGCATCTATTTTGCCATAAGGCTATTGGTTCTTTTACTGACTTAATGTGTTTTGTCTTTAAATAATAATAAATGCCATGTTTTTGGATGTTTTATAATCTGCGGTTCTCCTCCAGAGTGCGGGAGGTGTTTTGTCCCCCCGCAGCCGCCGTTGTGATGGGAGAGAACATGTCCAAGCGCCTGAAGCTGCTGTCCTCAGACGCAGAGATGGAGGAGCGCTCTTTCCCAAATCCATACCCAAACTGGGACCCAGGCACGGCCAGCTCTCCTGTGGAGGCAGACGCGGACCCCCGGGAGCCCATCGACGATGGCAAGGTGACTGTAATGCGATCCACTGTCTATATTTTATGATAAACATTCTGCTAAGCTAACTTTAGCTAGACATAAGCGCTCCAAAGCATCTGTTTTGACAGGCCGTGTTTAATCTGTACCAGTTTGTGCTTTGGCACCTTACATAATGTTAAATGCTTCTTGAGTCACTAAATACAGCTGTAGGAATGCATAAATTAAATGAAATATGTCTCAGTGACAAGACAAACACAAGCAGAACATACTGGAGTTTATGGATTTGTACGATTACCCCAGTCAGCCAACCCCGAATCTCGGACAGTTTGAACCAGTTATGTTTTTTTTTTTTTGTTTTTTTTTTTTACACGGTAACTTGTTATCCACATCCAGACTGTGCTCATTGTTTAATTATTACTTTAAACACGCCTTTCCTTCTTTATCTCCAGAAATAGCATTACATGTTCAGTATGCATGGCAAGGGTTTGGTATAGTTTCCCTCTAACATGTGCCTCTGTTTTGTATGTTTAGATAAGTGCATCCTTCCAGAGGAGAGTGCAGAGTAAGATTAAGGACCTTCTGCAGCAGATGGAGGAGGGTCTGAAGACTGCAGACCCTCATGATTTCTCAGCCTACACTGGATGGACAGGTGCCACCTGATGTCAGCTGTTAATTTGGTCCATTATTGGTGGAATGGCTCATGCTTTGTCATATGTGTAGGTATTGCCCTATTGTACCTGCAGCTGCACAGGGTGTCAGGAGAGGCATCTCACTTGCAGAGGGCACTTGACTATGTGAAAAGGAGTATGAGGATCCTTAATGGGCGCAGAGTGACCTTCCTGTGCGGAGATGCCGGGCCCCTGGCAGTTGGCGCTGTGGTGCACCACAAACTGGGCAACACTACTGAGAGCAAAGACTGTCTGTCCCGGTGAGTCCCTGTGAGGACAGCTGTACCTCATGTTACCTTTTTGTATGTTTCTGATATGATCCAGTGCACCCACATGTGTAAATGTGCTGGTGTTTGTGTGTACAGTCTGCTGCAGCTGCAGGCCTCTGTGTTGGGCCCTGATGGGGATATGCCTGATGAGATCCTCTATGGGCGCTCCGGATACCTCTTTGCTCTGCTCTATGTCTGCAAAGAGATTGGAGCTGAGGCTGTTGATGAGGCCACACTCTCACAGGTGACAGGAGCATACAGCATTTCAGCAGACAAGATTTTTCAGATACAATATTATGGTCAATATAGTTGGGCAGCAGTTGTTTTTTAACACTTTGTACTTCTGCAACTGATTGGAGTGACTGTCATGGTATGATCTTATGAGGCTCTGTTTGAATATGTTTAGTGTTCTACTTTCATGATGAAAAGCAGTCAATGCAAATTTGAGGATGGTTGCATTCTTTTTGTTGAAGTAGTGTTACAGCATTGCTCAGTAGTTGTATTTCGGTTTACAGGTGGTGACATGCATTGTGGAGTCTGGAAAGAGCTTGTCAGCAGAGCAGAAAAAGTCTGAACGCTGCCCCCTGCTGTACGAATGGCACAAGAAGCAGTATGTGGGAGCAGCTCACGGCCTGGCTGGCATCTACTACATGCTCCTACAGGTGAGCATATGTCCTTCCCTCTTCGCTATGTACAGTGTAGCCTTCTGCAAATAAAGAGTGAGCCCATACTACAGGACTAATACAGATGACTGTGTGTATGTGCCACAGCCCAGCGCCAAAGTCCACCCTGACATGTTGGCAGAGCTGGTACGGCCCAGCATCGATTACGTCCGCCACAAGAAGTTTCGCTCAGGCAACTTCCCATCGTCCCTGAGCAATGAGACAGATCGTCTGGTACACTGGTGCCATGGGGCGCCTGGGGTCATCCATATGCTCCTGATGGCCCACAAGGTAAGCTGCTCTGCCCCCTGTGTGCAGGCATGTGCACTGCTACTGTAGAGCTGTCACTCATGACTCTTAGGACAACACGCTGCATGGGAATGTTATGTTTGATATATCTGATTATCTTTGCTACAGCATTACTAACAGAATTATTACCATGTGGTTTGTCACTCACATACAGGTGTTTAAAGAGGAGAAGTACCTGAAGGAGGCCTCAGACTGTGCTGAGGTCATCTGGCAGCGCGGCCTGCTTCGGAAAGGCTACAGCATCTGTCACGGCACTGCAGGCAATGGCTACGCCTTCCTCTCCATGTATAAAGTCACTCAGGAGCAGAAGTACCTGTACCGGGCCTGTAAGGTCAGCCTGACCACCACTGTTCAGTGACAGTGTACTGAGTGTCCTGAGTATGGGAAGAAGCTCATGTATGTGTCTGTGTGTGCAGTTTGCAGAGTGGTGTTTGGACTATGGCACCCATGGCTGCCGGATCCCAGACAGACCCTACTCTCTGTTTGAAGGTACACAGAACTCTGAACACTGTATTGGAGTGTATCTTATAGATAGAATAAATCAATCCTTAACCGTGCGTGTATGAGCCGGCTTACCTCAAATCTCAAGATTAAAAAAGCTAAATAAATAAAATATATAATACACAAAAACAGATCTGAGGCCACATTAACAACACTTAATTGAAGTCTGTGGTTTCAGGAATGGCTGGGACCATCCACTACCTGTCTGAGATGGCAAACCCTGAAGCATCTTGTTTCCCGGCCTTTGAGCTCTGATACTGACTTGGGCCCTCACAGAGGAAGGGCACTTGATAGAGAAGAGGGCCCTCAGGAGCCAGGAGCCCCTGTTGTGTTGTACCTGGAGGACTGTGGAGCAGCGTGGACTGTATTGTGTGTTGTCTGTGCTGGCAGCACTGAGGCCAGAGACCCTGGCTGTGCATGCTCTGTGTAACTGGTGTCTTTTTCAGCTCTGCTCCTCTCATCATGAAACACCTGTTTGAACACGACATGTCCAATAGCATGCACAGGGCACAAAGGATGCTTTGCCTGTTCAGCTTGGCTTCACCACCATTTTAATTGACTCTAAATGCATTATTCTCCATGTGCCTGTTAATGCATAGAACTTTGACTCAAAAATATTAATACAAACAATTGTTTGTAAAAGGGGGTTCTGGACATAATTCTTTTTTTTTTTTTTCATGTAGGCCATTAAATATTTAGTCTGGTCAGCTAAGAAAGTAGGGCTGGCTCCTCAGGTTATCAGTATGCAATATTCTAGTTGTGATTGCTGAAGTTTGTTTGGAGTTCTTATATTTCTTTCACTGAATATCTCGTTTTAGGATGACAGTGGTTTAGGGTAAAGATTTCGCCCACAAGTGGAAGGATGCTGGTTCCATCTCCCTAAATTCTAGGTGCAAACTACTGTTCCATGCATACTACTATTAAAGGTACAGGTGCATGTTTGTTTCTGTACATGTCAGGAGCAGCAAGAAACTGCAATTCAGTGCATGGGGACCCATCTCCAGAGGTAAAGAGCCTAGAGGACACTGGGGGAATATGCAAACTCTTTACAGACCTAGGAGTTGAACCAGCCTGCAGGGGGAAAGAATGCTTACCCCTTAGCCATTGTGCCTGGACATTTTTTCCCCATTACCTACTCCAATCTCTATGTCTGGCTGGTTAGAAGGGTCTCTGAGATTAAAACTGCCAAACTGAATAAAGGGATAAGGAACAGAAGATTAAAATATTAGAATATCCTTCACTTTTAGTGACCATATTTATATGACATGTTTGTTTAGCATCCTAATGATTCCAATCTCTTTCTTTTTGACCTCATGACACGTTTCTGTTGGAGTAAACAGTAAGAGGACTGTACATGTGTGTTGTACCTCCCTCTGCAGTGTCCTGTCTGTTATGTAGCTGTGTGTTGTGTGGTGCCGACAGCCCGTGAATGCACAGACCTCCTGAATGTGAGTGCATGCGTCTGATTGGCCAGCCCTGTAACTATGCTTCTGTGTCCATGCAGCCCAAGAATAAGTATGTGCTTGTTTCTATTTCACATTCTAAGTACCTTTAACAGTTCTCAAAGTGCCAACTAATAAACTGGTGTTCCTAAGCAGAGCCTCTCAGTTTTTTCTTTTTTTCAACAGAAAGTATTTTATTGTTAATGATAAGTATACTAAACTAATAATTGCATTTATCACATTCTCGTGTGACAGGATTTTAGATGGATTTAATTTGAGTAGTTTTGTTAGGTTATGTAATGACAACTATTACTGGTTTGTTAATGTTGAAAATTAACCTTGAAATTAGCAAATAAATCTGTTGATAAAAGTGTATTGGACTTATATAGCACTTTTTTGATGTGCAATGCATTATTCATTCACTCTATGGTTGCACTATTGTAGCCACAGCTGCGCTGGGGCAGACTGACACAAGTGAGGTTGCCAATTGGTTATCGGCCCCTTAAACCATGCACACATTACTTTCATACTAGGCACTATGGTTGAAATGTATTGCCAAAGGACACAAACATTTTTGCCACAGGTGTCCCACCTGGTATTCCCAGCAAATATTAACCAAGCCCAGCCCTGTTAAGCTTCTGAGTTCTGACAAGATCAGGCTTTCACAAGGTTTGGTAACAAATGGTTAATGGAGCTGGTATAATTCTCTTACGTCATTAACATAAAAAGGTTTGAAAAAAAGACACAGGCGCATAAAAACCATTATGACCTCCATGACACTAATCAGTCAGAAGACTGAACACTTTCACCCACTGCAAGGCACATTTAGCTGATTACATCAAGGGACATTTAGACCAGAAAAGACTGCGCTTCTTTAAAGGTGTGAGACGCAATGTTTTTATTTGATTTGTTCAAAGGCCTGGCACAGCCACCTGAAGTAGTGCCACCTCAAATACGCACCTCCATTTGTGCTCAAACAAGTCCATCACATTTGTCCATTGTCTGCACAAAGAATACAACATGCAAACATGAGCCCTGCTAACCAGCAACTCCACAAGCTACAAGAAGTCCACCAATCTGCAATGGGAAAAACTACAGACTTGTGCCTGGACAAAGTATTTGGCAAAGTGTCATTCCTTTTTGGTGGCATGGTCCTCTATGTTGAGTCCTCCTTCACTCTTCTTGAAACTTTAGGTTTTGGTATTTGCAGAAATACCGTTTCTGAAGGTGCCGAACTATTCCCACCCCTCAAAGAAGTTTACATGTAGAACAGATCAGCAGAAAGTGTATGGACTTTAAAAACACACAGAAGCACTTGTTGAAAAGGAAGGAGGTGTGGCTCTGCCCAGAAGGAACCAACAAATATACATCCATGTACAGGATAAATTTGAGATGCAAAGATGGACAATAGTTTCAAAGTCAGTAAGTATAAAATTGAAATCCAGCTATCTTAAATTTTTATAATTCAAAAAGTTTAAATCATTAAAGGCCCTGTACCTGATTTTTTTCCATGTTTCTGAGCAAAATATGTCTTGCCCCACTACAGATATTCTATAAGCAGCTCATGAGGTCAAAATAAGCCTGCCATGTACTGTTTGCATCCAATTATAAAGCAGTTTATTGTCCAATAATCAGGAAATGTGCTGTAGCATGCTAGATGTTATTAGCTTAGTGATGGCAAAACTCTGCTGTCGTCTCTGAAAATTGTGAAAAGCATTTATAAACTCATCGTGGTGAATAATTAGAATGCCCTGAATTTAAAAAAGTCTGGAATAACTTTGAATCTCTGCAAACCATTTAAAATGAACTAGTTCTCTTTTTCATGTTTTAAGTAAAAATTAAGGTACAGCACCTTTAATAGACTATTTGCAGGAACAGTTACAAGCTACTACAGTGAAGTCACTTACTCCAAACTGAAATTGTACATACATTTTACTTTGAAATGACCAAAACCTGCCTTTTCATAAAGAGAAGTAAAAAAGGCAGAGAAATATAGCCTACATGTTAAAATTATTTCTGCCAGTGTGCTTTGGATTTTTCTGCCACTCACGTACTGTACCCTGTGTCTTTTGTAAATATATGTGTGTTGGAAATTTGTAGTTTTAGGTTGAAAGTTTATACAAAGAATGTGAAAGTGTCATTAGGACATCTTGAGTAGATCCTGTAGAACCATGCTTTTTAAAGATCAATTTTCCTTTGGCTTTAAGTATGGTCAAACAACCACATTTCAGAATCGCTACTCAGTTACTGACACTAGCCCTACTGTAAGTCCTACTGTAATGATCTTAATGGCCCATCATAATCAAGCTCTTGTAACAGTAAAAAAGGTGTGACATGTGCTCTAGCTTTAACCTTACCTGCATACTGTTGTGGATCACATCATTTTGTTATCTATTATTTTTTAATAGGACACTAGAGGCGCAAATCTAACCATTAAAAGTTAAATAAATTTTCTAGGTCCACCCTCAGCTGTCATAGAAATTTTACTTTACTTTACTTTAAATCATTGCCGTGTCATGCTGTGTGTTTGGTGCTGCAGAACCATTGAAACAAACTCCAGTTCATCTAAGAGAGGGTTCCTTCAGTCCCTCAGTCCAAAAGTCTGTGCTCGGAGTTACGTCTTGTTGCTGTTTTGGAATATTTGTTCATAGGAGGGTGGGGGGTGGTTGCAGTAGGACGGTGGTGGGGGGTAGGAGGCTGGGTACACCACAGGTTCGGGCACTCCGTTCACCCTGTAGGCATGGACAGGGCCTGGCTGCTGGGACACTGTGGACAAGAGGACATCACTCAAACATCATAACATAATAATACAGACAGGGCTCAAAACAATGAGTTGCAATCCCCAATAAAAACAGATGTATCCTATGTAACCGTAGGCCAACAGCTAAAGACAGAAATCTGCTTTTCCTGTTGTTGTTAAACACTTTATTGTCCCTGTAGGGAAATTGTCCTTCAGTATCGCTGGGGCAGCCTGTCAGAAGCAGTGAGCGTTCAGAGACCAGTCGCCAGATCTTGAGCTAGGCTTGGTCAGGACCAGGGCTGGAATTAGCAATTTGGGGGCCCTAGGTGAACTTGAGTTTGAGGCCCTTACTATAATGTAAGTTTTTTTTGTTTTTGTTTTTTAAAAATATATTTATTGTCTGTTTTTCCCCCTTCGTCTTGATACATGCACATCTCTATTTATTTGAATTATGGTGGATTGGAAACTTGTCTTATTAGTCAGGTAGCCTACTAGATAACCAGAACTGAAAGTAGTTTTTTTTTTTTTGCTAATACAATTAAATTTACATCCATTACATATGATTTTTTTTCTTATGATTATTGTTTAAAAGTACATTACTCTCATTTAATGTCATATTGAGAGAAAATCAAATTGCTCTGAGGCCTCAGCGATTAGTGGCACTGAGGGCAATTGTTTGAGGGCCCCCCCAGGTTTGGGGGCCCTAGGGAGCCATCTACTTTTGCCTAATGGTACTGCTACCTCTGGTTAGCACTACCTGGAAAGTACATGTTTTGGGTTCATGGGGGAAAGTGAAGTCAGTAAATGACTTTTTATAGCTCCTTAGATTTACTGATTATAATGACTTACTTTCAGAACACACATGTGCATTTGATACATTAATCTCCTCATGTAGTGCACACACAAGCCTGGGGTACCTGGAGAGTTGACAGGGTGTCTGGTGAAGGACACGTTGAAGGCGGGTTCGTCCCTCAGAGGAGATGGGTACATCCTCCTGCGAATGAAGAAGCCAGCTCCACAGCAGAACAGCACGGCCATCATCAGCAGCAGCCTGAGCACACACGCACACAAAAGCACACACAGACGCACACACAAACGCGCACACAAACGCGCACACACACACACACAAAAACACATAGATGCACACAAACACAGGTTGGATTTCTATGTCTTAAGGGGACATTACTTTGACATTAATTTCCTGGAGACTGATCCTGACCTTAAAGTCACTACTTGCCTAACCTTAATCTAAACCCTAACCTTAACCTATTTTAACCCATATCTTAACTTTATATAATGTTGTTGATCTAATAATAAAGGATTACAAGGGAGACAGGCCCCCATGACGCAAGTGTCCAGATTTTAGTCCCCACAATGTGATAAATACCCACTCACACACATACTCACTAATGTAATGTCTATGCCTGGTGAACCTGAGCATCTGGAGACAGAGAAACGCAATTAAGTCCTCATCGAAAATATTCTATCTCCACTATGCTGTTTTCCAGATCCAAGACAGATATAGTATTTGTCATAGATTGACAGAATCTTGTCATATTATTCTTGAAGGGGCACTATGTAACTTTTCATTTGGGGGTCCATTGCCTGCTTGTTTCTATGGATATGTCATTCCTTTGTCTGAAATGTTGCACAATATGTCATGAAACAGCTATATTTATTCATTTACAGGTGGTTTTACAGCTCAAAAATGCCTATTGCCTCTCCACAGATTTGACCAGTAACTTGGTCTGGTTTGGACTCCATGACAAGAGAAAAGATTAATACCATACTGTTAAATTTCCAGTCAACGCAATAACATCTCCACGGAGAAAAGAATTTGATGGGCCCTCTATCAGAAAAGTTACATAATCTACCTTTGAAACTTTGGTCCTTTCAACTGACAACAATCACATTTTTGGGTTGAATAATGTGGGTACTACTGCAATTGTAAACAAATAATTTTGCTTTTTTTTTTCTTTATGCTGACAAAGAAGATTGTTTCAAGTGGATAGGCTCAGTTATTATGGAACTATTAACCCTAAACCAGATTTACATGTAAAAAAAAATGCAATCTGACAGCTAAGCAGCAAATTCCACCTTGGAATTCTGACCTACCCTCTACCTCAATCTTGAAATCATAATGTCACAAAGGCAAATTATACTTATTTATATCCATATACGCCATAATGATGTATATCCATACAATGAGTCTATCCATAAATGCACCAATCGCTAAAAAGTCTTGACGAAATGTATGCAGGAACAAAAATAATGTAATAACTTAATTTCTACCACTATGTACCAGAACCTTACAAATCTCTATTACTAGGCCTATATTTGTTAGAAGTGAAGACTCACCAGAAGTACCAGAGCCTCTGAATGGACAGAGCCCGCACACAGCAGCGTGTGCCACAGCAGTCCTCATACGAGCGGCATCTGCAAATCACAACATAAGCGTGAGTTTGCATTTTGGTTAAATATAGCCTATTGCAGACTGTACAGTTTGTGTGAATGTGAAGACAGGTAACTAGGAGACCACCTATGTTTACTGATGCATGCTGGTTCTACCATTTCATTGGTTTTAGCTCGGGATGCAGGGATCCAGCTTTTTCAATACTGATTTCAATTCTACGAATTAAAGTATCTGTCAATACCTGATGCCAACTGATACCATTGCAGAGACTGAAAATAGTATTTTATTTCCTTTAAACAAAAATACTATAAGGCAAAACTGATCTAAGTGCATTATGTAGAGGTTATTAATCTCTAAAGTAACTACAGAACAACTTTGTACCAAGAAATGTTCAAACATTATGAGATTTTCTGGGATGACTACGACCAGTAAATAGTTTGGCAACAATCAAATGGTTTTCAGCATTCTAAAACCGATGGAAAGGACACAATGAGACAAAGGAACCACATTATATCAGTATATGACCATGAGTTTAAGGTTATTACACACTTGAGAATGTTCTTGAGTGTTAGTTTTCCCAAGATAAGCAAGTAAATGTACTCTGCGAAATACAAGCAAACACAATACACCAGGTAGTAGGACTGTGCAGTAAATACATTTTTTTGATATTCAGTCTTTTCTAATCGTGAATGATCAGCACACATATTTTTCAGATGTCTACAGTCAATCCTCTAAAAGGCAAAAAGCATGTGGTTTAGGGTGGAGTTCAGATTAGAGTCAAATTTTCAACTACATTTGTGTTGAATTGCACTGGTTAAAATATGTCAGGAAATATTAAATGTCTGTTTAGATTACGTTTAACTAGATGAAATCAAATTAAATTATGATTGATGGTTATGATCTACTGTTAGAAAAGCAATCTACTCACATAAAGTAGATGGGGTATCCTCCTTCAACGTACCAACAGTACTTCTTAGCTTCAGTCACCTGCAACCAAGCATAATTTCTTAGGCTATATGACCACAGAGATGAACAAAGACCAAAACTGTAAACACATGTGTGCTTTGAGGAAGTGGGCTGAAAAGAGCTACTGTTAGGGTTATGCAAAGTGTAATTTTTTTTTATAAGAATGTTTTCTAAATGTATCATTTAGAAAAAAATAAAAATACCTAGATGTCCTACTGGCCCTGTGACCCAGAAAGATTGTCAACCTGCGTCTTAACAACACTAGAGAAGAGATGGCACGTATGGAAGGATGGATGCAACATCTCTTACTGTTGTTATATGTTAAATCCAGGCTACAACGTGTTATAATCTTGTTAAAACTAGTAATTTTCCATGACATTGACAAAATAAAATTACAAATCCACCCTAAAACAAAAAGATCCACTCACCTCCAGCAACAGCCCGAAAACGAGGGCCAGTGGCGGAACCAGTGCGCTCGGCATGTTTGGGTCAAGACAAGAACACCGAGACGACGGGGGGAAGACGCTCCGATTAGCTGCTACGTGGAGGGGGTAGAGGCGGTCATTTGGCCCGAGCATCAGCGGGCTCCTCTCGGCCCTCCATCCGTGCGCAGAGACAGCAGGGTCGCGGTGAGGCGGCGGAGGAGACACGGGGCCTGTTCGGTTCCTGAAGGAGCGGAGACAAAGCTGCATCAGGCGGTGACGTGAGACGCATTACGCACAGTTCCGCCCCAGTAAATCAAACAAGGAGATGCTGGATACGTGGGCATGGATGGCAACCGTTACGTAGGCCTATAATTAGATTATTTTATGATTTTGTTTTTTTTAAATTATCGGATTAGATTATATTGTGTCAGGGAAGTTCATATCCAAACGGAAAATTTATAGTAAAATACTTTATCCTGATGAAGCCTTTGGAAATGGGTTTATTTAAATGTTAAATTATTTATTTATTTTTTGGCAACACGTTATATTTACAGCCTTAATAAAGCGTGACTTAAAGGGCATATATTACGCCATTTTCTGATCTATGTGATAATGTTTCCTCATCAAAAACTTACTGGTGTCCAACTAGAAAAGTTACTTGCGTCTTTAAATTAAGCATAAGACATGGATAGGCATTGTATTCTGTAAAGTATTATCCATAGTGGTGGTAGTTTAGTAAACACACAAGCAAAAAAATATTTTAGTAGCACTTTTGACCTATTATCAATCTTAAATTCAATCAATAAGAATGAGCCCTTACACCAGTCTTTCAATGCTGAAATCGAGTTGGTTAGACAACTACAGAAATTCTTGATCGGCTAAAGTCCTGTCGATCAATTAGTCGAGGGGGCGTGACAAAAGCTCACAATACTATTTTGTATCTCTGTGTATCTGACCCAAACTGTACAAACTACACCTGCACGAGTGTTCAAGCAGCAAAAACAACTATTTATGCAGAAAGTACAATGAAGCAACGTATTTATATAAAGACAGATTAAACTTGTTTGTCATGAGTTTAATCTGTTTTTGTATATATATATATATATATATATATATATATATATATATATATATATATATATATATATATATATATATATATATATATATATATATACCAAGGAATACCAAATCTTCATCTAACTCACTCCCTAGTTCTCCTTTACAGTAAAAGGATTAGTCGACTAATACACATTTTCACACCTTCGACTAAATGAGACGAGCCGAGTTTGTGGTAGTTCCATTAAAACTGTCCGAGTTCCATTAAAACTGTCACTATAAATCTACTAAAGTAGCCTAAGGTGTGTGAAGAAGGGAACGTGGAGGATTTATTGACTTATTATTAAATATTATTATTATAACAAGGTGTAAAAAATAGCCTTATACATTTTTCAGAATAGGCCTAATACCCTTTTAATTCACCAGACCACAACTCTGCTCCCAACACTAATACAGAGACCAGCACTTTAAACAGCAGGATGGAGCCTAGTCATCATTTATTTTCCTTTATCGGGGATCTATATGACCTATGGGAGCCTATAGTCAATATTGTCCTGTCAGTTTTACAAAAACACTGCTTCGTAATACATTCCCTCCACCTCATTCCTTAAACACAGCTCTGCTCCGTCCTTCGGGCTGATGTTGTGCCATAAAAGCCATTAATGTTCGGAGCAGCCTCGTCCCCTTCGGGATTTTTGGGAGAGATTTGCAGGAGCTCAACTGCAGATTGGCTCAATATTTAATCCGGACAAAGCAACTGGAGCAAGAAAACATGAATCTTAATTGGATAAATAAGCGAGCTGAGGGAGGCTAAGACCGCGCAATGGGAGCCTTAATACAAAGCTGAGATGCGGGACTTGAGGCGGACGGTGGTAAGTGCCCCTGGCTGCAGCCCCTAGATTTGGATTTGACGAAATGTGGCCAGAGGTTAGTCGACGGTGGAGCAGCTGTCGTTGGAGGGAGAAGCTCTGGCTAGAGTTCAGGCACTTTAGCTGGAGTTTTGATTCATTCACATCTTAAACACACAAATCCTTTCAAAATGTGTAGGTTCTCCTCTCAAACTGAAAAGAGAAAACAGTGATCCAGGCAATGTTTTCAATACCTGGAATGTTTCACAGTATGACATTAATTCCCATCTCTCTTGCCTTGATATAAAAACAGATGAATTACACTGCTAAAAAATATTTTGAAAAACATGCATTCTTGCTGAAAGCAGGTTTGCCTCTCCACAGATCTGACGTGTAATGGGCCTGGTGAGTATGCCAAGAAAATGTGTCCATGGAGATAACAAATGTAATACCATACTGTGGAACATTGCAGGCAAAGCAATAACACTCCAGAAAAGTTACAAAGCGCAAATTTAAAGATAATACTTAAAATATGTTAGGTTTAGAGTTTTCTTTATTGACAGCGTTGAGTGACAAATGCAGTAAACAATATTAATGTGATTTGACTTATCCCACATGCAGCTCTAAAATGGCATTATGAATACAGTAAGGAACAGGAATTTCTACATATAAAACATTAAAAAAAAATAATAAAAAAAACACACAAAAAAACATAGACACATGAACAAGGCTTGCAGTGAAGGCAACAAATGTAAACACATAGTAGAAAGAACTAGAAAAGAGTAGAAAATATGCACAGCCTGGTGGTACATAAGGCCTCCACAGTGCAGCCAGACTAATGGGTTTAAATGCATTAGAGCAGAGTACTGGTGAATACTGGAGAAGGAGAGAGTCCTGGTTTTTCATATTTCTGATTCACATTTACTGTTATGCGCATTGAGAGAAGACTGTAAAATGTGTAAATAAATGAATAAATAAAATCTGGGCAAAAAACTGAAAATAATAATAATAATAATAAAACACAAGTGCAGAAAATTTGCTCAGTGGAACAGAATTGTGCAGTTGTGAATAGAATTCGATTTTAAACGAAGGAAACTATTGATTCAACAACAGGATTTTGAGCTGCAAAAATTATCACAATTGAAATTAAATCACAGTTTTTGAGCAAATAACAAGCAGCTGTTAGGCAATAGAATATTCTCTGCAGACAACAAATTATCCTGTCTCCATGAGGTCTTACCATGTATACAAGCTGCTAACCCTGTAGCTTAGACCTCTACAAACATGTTCTCAAATGCAGTTCAGGTTGTGTTTAAAATGTGCACAAAAAAACAGAAATTGCAAGTTTGTACGGTTGATGCCACAAAACGTACATTATTGCATATTATACAGTGTATGCACCGGACCAGAATCACATATTGCAGAGCTAACATAAAATACATACACAGAATTCTTTATTAATGTAGATTTAAAATCATGTAAACATGATATACCATTCTAGAAGATAGCAAGTGGAAGACATGCGTAAGAACAGTTCCGGTAGTTGAAAACAGGCCCTAAAACAAGCCCTGTTAAACTATAAAAAGTCAAATTAAATAAAAATTATTTCATTTGATTCAACTAGTCACAAATAAATAAATAAATAAAACAAATAAATCCCTAAAGTACTATATTTTCGCTGCTCTGACATCAGGCAGTAAAGATTGTACTAGTTACATAAAAACACAGTGGAATAGTGGAAAAAGTCTATTTGTTGTATTTTTTGATTCCACCAATGCAATTCTATACACTGTACATCAACATAAGATGTAAAAAAAAAAAAAAAAAAAAAACTTGGGAGGTGATGGCAAATTTACATAGGATTTGAACATTTTGATAAAGATTTTAAGATGAAAATTACTAGTCTCAAATTCTACGTTAAAGGCAATGTACTTGATTTTTCACATTTTTTGGGGGGCAATATTTGACTTGCCCCAGTACAGATATATTGTATAAGCAGCTCTGAGGTCAAAACAAGTATGCTGCGTACTGTCTGCATCTATTTATGAAGTGTTTTATTGTCAGAAAATCAAGTGGAGGTGCACGTTAGCATGCTAGTTGCTGTTAGCTTTACTGTCATTGGTTTCTCAGAGTAGTGAAAAGTGTTTATGTACCACTGCGAACCGTATGAAATGAACTAGTTCCATTTATAACAATTTAAAAATCAGGTACAGCACCTTTAAATGACCAAGAATGTGTTACATAATAATTAACCAGATTGCCAATAAAGTTTACTCTCTTCTTTTTAATGGTTTTGTCATGTCAGGGGCTCTGTATCAAGTAAAACCCTAACAAAATATGCCATCTAATTCAGACAATATGTGGGAAAATAGTTAAGTTTCTTGACCTGCAAGATTCATCTTCTTTAGTACTGTATTTCTGAAAAGCCCGAGCCCAAGCAAGAGTCTATGTAAAGTTCTGATCTGTACTAACCATTGTGTGTTACAATTGTGTCTTACAATGAGATACAGACTTGTGATGCCATCATGAATTGAATTTAAATGTCTATATATCTGAAGTACAATAATAATTTATATCTACATGTATTGTACGTACATAACACTTAATAACAGACTTCTTGAGCATTGACTCTATAAAAGGGTGTTTTTATGGCTGCCTATTATATATTATCCACACAATAAAAATGAAAAAGAAATTAATAATTTTGAAATAAAATAAAATAAAATAAAATACAAATTCTTGCATCCATCACGTAGTCTTGGTGAGCATGTTTACTCACAAAATATTTTTATTGAATGAAAATAGGTATTTATTGATGGATATAAGAGGTTTGCGTCATATCATATCTGTTTTAATGTATTTAAGAGTGCATTTGATCGGCATATATTTTGAAAGCAATAAAAAAGGTGTATACTTATCTGCTATGTTTAGTTTCTGACAAATGTCTCCTTAAAGCAGTCCTTATTTTTCATGTTCAACAGTGTTGTGACCCCGTGTCCTGCAGTGGTAGAATCTGATCTCCACAGACACAGTATGCAGACTGCATGTACCGGCTCCATCTCTCTCTGGAGCGAGGGGGGGTCTTTGTTCTCTGACCCCGTGAGATGATGGCCCGGTGGGGCTCACTCCAGGCCGAAGGTGCTGGTCTCCTCCACAGCTGTCAGCAGCTTCTCATAAAGCATGGAGTAGGACGGGTATGGAGGCAGGTCCAGGCGGTTAAAACATGTGTGCGCCCTGAGAGACGAGACACACAGTTGCAAGTCAGTATTTCACACATTTAAAATCATTGTGTAGAAATATTAAACCTGAAAATCCTACTGGTTTAAAATAGGCATGCACTAGTACAATACTGGTACTGAATATTGGCCCTTATACTGAAAATATATATTTTGGCCAAGAATGTCTCATAATGTTTGAACTTGAACAAAGCTAATCAATAGTTAATTGACAATGGGATGTCTTGTGTAATATGTTAACTGTGTTTTAAGGTAATAAGTGCCATTTTCTGTCCCTACAATGGTATGAGTTAATATCAGTTATCGGCAGATACTTGTAGTAAAGTACTGATGTCAGTATCATAAGTGAAAAAGCTGGATCGGTACACTCCCAGTTTAAAAACAACAATAACATCACAACTGAATCTGGGCTGCCATTAGCTACCATATTGTGAAGGGATATCATAGTATAGACTCCTTTAATGTTTACAAACTGTGGCAAACCACACTGGAAAATTGGCTTGAGAATCAAATCACAAATTTACAACAAAAACATTTAAATCATGTAAAATGTTTTTAGAATTGTGAATAATTATTGTTATAAGTAAAATGAATATATGACCATGTTTACTTCATATCAGTATCTGGGAACTTATATAAAAATACCTTACTATCTTAGAAATTATATAGAATATGATCCTTTTAAGCCATAAATTAGACATTTGCATCACTATATTCAAAAGCTTAGCCCTGAGTCAGCACTACATGGCTAACAATGGGACTGTGAACAAAAAGGAGGTTTCAACAGCAGATTCACTGTATTAGGGATAAACTTGCATACTAGTATAACAGAAATGCATTTTCTATAAAACAGACTGTCCAGATGAGCTTTTGAAAACATTTTGTCAGTCTTGCTTGTGTGTGTCAGACCTGGGCAGTGATGTGATCTTGCCCCACTTCTCGATACAGAAGCGCCGTAAACCGTTGGACCCTCGCAGAGCAGCGAAGCCTTCGTAGGGCACACTAGACGTCCCAGTGACAAACTGTAGGAGGCGCAGTCTCTGCTCGTTGTTGAATCTCTCCACAGCTGCCCAGAACCAACGCATTACTATGTGGCCGTCATGATAGCCTGTCAGGGGGACACACAGAATAGAACTGGGTTTTCCTGGAACACTTCATTTGAGTTTAATACTGACAAGGCAGCAAGTTTGTTTTGAACTATTCTAATAAGTCAAAAGATCTGGCAAAAATAGAGATGGGTAGTGTTAAAAACTATATAAGAACCATAAGTCATATTTACTAGAGTAATTCAGTAATGCATACATTAGTATACTGCTTGGTTACTCTTTCCACTGGGAGTAATCTAAGTATGGCACTTAAAAATGGTACTCTTTGTCAATATATTCCTTATATTTTCAGATTTTTAATCAGTTAGTTCTTTTAGAAATACCAGAATTAAGATACAATCTTTTGTTTAACTAAAACATAAACACGTACTAAGTACTTGGTTAGAAATTTTAGCCAAATATTATGTTAACAATGCTTCAAGACAAGAAAGGCACAAAACCTATATGTAATGAGGTGTGTACATTTACATTTGCATACATTACAACATACCTCCTCTATACTCAGTGTTATTCCTCCAGTCGTTGAGATCGATCTCCACTCTCCCTGCGATCACCAGCTCCAGCTCCCGAGCATCGAACACCGACACCAGCCTGGAGTCCACCACCTGAGGGACACACAGCTTTCAGAGCAGCTCCTCATGCTTTTAATTTTACAGTGGAAAGAGCTGTGTGCTGCCTGACCTCATAGAAGCCCCTGATTAATGCCTCTGTCTGCTGGACCACCCCTCTCTCCACTCTCCACTTGGTCATTCTCTCGATGTAGTCCTTCTTGTTCTTCTCTGTCACCTGGATGTTGGCTCCTCCAGACTTCAGCTCTCTCTCTGTTACCTGTTGGGACATGTAGAAGTTTAGTTAGCATTAGTAGTATTAGTATTAATTGCTAATAATTGAGCCGTTGATAATTATATTTTATTGTATTTAATTGGCTTATTAATAGGTGCCTGGAAAGAGCTAGTTTGATATTAAAGAGCTAATACAAGTGCCTCTGTAATGTCATTCTGAAATGGCCCCATTGAAATTATTCAGGAAGAGCAAATTAACATCCTTCAACAATATAACAATACAGTTTTAGCTAAAAAAAAGTATATTATTATACCGACCATTTTTACTCTTTCTACTTGACAAAAACTAACCAAATATAAAGCACAATTTGTTTATCTTCATATTTAACAATATTCCTGTACAGTTAAGTTTAGCTAATGTTTTGTAATGATGATTTCTCTTAAGGCTTATTAAATGTGACCTGTCCAAAGACTTCCTCGTTGACAGTGAAGGTGAGCTCCAGGATGTTGGTGATGTCATTGTCCTTGACCCACTGCAAAGACTGGTGGAACTCCTCGTCCAGGTACTCCAGGTCAGACAGGTCTGTAGGTCTAAACGCCACAGGAACAAAGCAACTCAAATCAGACGCTATCTCAACATTTTACACACAATTAATGGTCCTATATTTATGCTCTATTTTTAACTTCCTCTTAAAAATATACCTGGATTTATTTTATATACTGTATATCCTTTACACACGGAGTAATCCTGCATATTTAAGATGTTTTCTTAGAGTTCACAATACTTGGTCACACTACACGACTTCATCAAGTGGTAGCCGAGAAAATGCTTTTTTGTGCTCATTGTCCAAATTCATACACCACCAGACACATACATGTATCAGTTTGCATCCAAACTTTTACAGAAGCAGTTTTGTTTTTAACCTCACTGACAGTATTTTAAAGGGCTACGATTTCTAATTAGGTTAACCCTGTTGTATTCTCACATAATACCACTAGGTGCTACCTTAATGTTACTGCTGTCTGTGTGTACCAGGTTTGGTCTGACAGAAGGTGACCACAGGTGAGACTTAAGATCAAATATTTAAGGCCCCGGAAACATTGTAGGGAAAGAAACTCAAATTTTTTATGCCTAAAAATGTTACTCACAGTCTTAGAAGAGCCTTGTAAAATGGACGGGTGAAGAAAGCATCCAACAGGTACTGATGGATCAACGCCAGACCCAAGATACGACCACAGAATCGGAACCTGTAGTGAGTTGAACAAACGTGTGTGAACTGTGTGTGGGGGAAATATGAGAGGGGCTACGTGTGGGTACTACCATTCCAGGTGGTTCTCGACAAAGGCGGACATGGGGCTGATCTGAACAGTGTATGTGTCATTGGCCGAGTATTCGAACAGGCCGTAGTAAGGGTTAAAGAGCTCCTGAGACAATAAAAAGAAAAACTCTCTAGAGGGACCGCTGTAGTCTAACCTGAGAACAAGACAATGAAGAGAGATCAGAGGAGAGATTGGTTAACAAATATTTACTGACAGATAAACTAGTAAAAGCACACTGAGTTATGGATGGGTGGTATATTGTATGAAAATAATAATACAATTATAAGAATTAAAATATTGCCATTGTCATCGGCAAACTCAGTGGAAAAAATAAAAACAACCGTGTAACTGTCAAAACACATTTCTGCACTTTTGTGATCACTTCAGTGGAATATTAGAATCTCAAACAAGTTACATGCACTTTTAGAAATTTTCTCAATTTGACTTGATTTTTGTTGTTGTGAGACTAAAAAAAAAAAAAAAAGAAATTATAATTTATGTCAGTAGTAACCCCCTACACTGAGAAGACTAAACACTGAATCACATACCCTTCCTCTCCATGAAAGGTGACGTAGAGTTTGCTCCGCTGTAATTCTTTGCGAGAATAGGCCATGATCTGGTTGAACGTCCCCTCTAAAAGGTGCTCTCGTCTGATAAGTAATCTACATAGAAACATTGAAGTACATAGTATTATTATATTGGAATAAGAAGGTGTTTGAGTTGATTTGAGTTTTTGAATGTGTGTTCAACTGACTTGATCTTGCCCGGTCCCTGACCGTAGCCTTTAGCTTCTAACTTCCTGTAGAAATTTCGGAGTTTGGCTTCAAAGTCTCTGCGGTACGGAGCAGGTGCCCTGGCTCTCTGCGGCCCTATTTCACACAACAGAAGCACAGTTAACATGACTGCACAGGTTTTAGATTTTACACATAAACTTATCACGTGTGTAGACAAAAATAAACATAAAAACATTGTCTTCATTCATGTTACTTTCCAAAAAACACAAAAATCTACATAATTAATTACAAAGATGTTAATTGTCAAAAGCTGGTCTCAAAATATTGAAAAACATTATTTATTTGTTTATTAAGAATAGAGCAGTCTTTTTGAATGAAAACATGGGAAAAACAAATGTCAACTAACTAATTGCGCTAGTTGATCTAAATTATAAAATTCAATATTCAATGAAAGAAAAAAGCAGCTTGAATAAACACAATGATGATCATGCTTTCTGCCAAACCCAAGTTGTTCATATAAAAGCTTTTATTAATTACACACATATTTGAGTTCAGCCTCTCCTGAATGTCACGATCAATTGCATTAGTGCTCTCCAAGTGACTGCTGCCCAGAACTGTGCCAATCAACCAATGTCTTTCCCTCATGCCTCTGCTTATGTTTGCTACTCACCAAAATGCTCCAACAAGGACAAACTGGACTTTCATTGAATGACATCAATCAAAAAAACAATACATTTTTCTTTTTTTCCCCTAAATTGTAATAAAATGCACAAACCTGGAGAGTTTTGCGGGGACGAGCCGGGAGAACAGCGCGGTGAAAAGCTAAAACCAGGATGGATTGGATGAGGGGACACATAAGACATCACCTCGTCCTCAAATAAACTGCAACAGTACATCAAATATGACCATAAAGGACTGAAACATTGAAGAAAAAATGTAATAAAATCAATTATAAAGTGCCTGTTTTTCCTTCTAGTCACTGCTATGTTTTTACCTGAGAAGAATGACCAGGTCTGCATCACATGACAGCTTCTCCACCGCTGCAGTGCCTTCTGTGCGGATGTAGTGGATCTTCTCTCTGCCAGGAAAAAGCATTTATTCCAATTGATCATATTTACAGTAAGGAATGGTGTTGTAGTGTTTAATATTAGATCTGAGAGGTACCTGAGAGCATGGTTTGTGCTCAGACTTGGCTGGCGATCCTGTAGCATGTCAAAAATGTTTGGTTGTCGGAGGAAGGCCACAATCTTGTCATTGTACGCTGCAAAAAAAAATCTATTTTTAACATTCTGGTGGAGGGTACACCACCTGCTTGTCTCCATGTAGATGTGATTGCTTTTGCCTGGAATGTTCCACAATATACATAATATGGCATGCATCTATCTTGCAATTACAGGTGTTTTTATTGTTCAAACACCTTGGGAAAAAAGTGCATTCTTACTATGAGCACTGTTGCGTCCCAACAGACCAATGTGTAACTTGGTCATTTGTTTGTCTCCATGGAGATAGTTTAATGCCATCCGGGGGACATTCCAGGCAAAACCAATAACATCTCCATGGAGACAAGCTGGTGGCGGACCCTTGATCAGAAAAGTTCCACAGTGTACCATTAAAATTGCTTTATTTGGCATATTAGTATATTAGATGAATAAAACTCACAAGGAGGGGACATTTGTTGATCTAAGTGCTGGTTGCGTATTGCAGCGATCAGCATGTTGGCTGGTCTTGCCATCAGAGAAGTCCCACGGTTTCTAGACACTTCTGATGCCTGCAAGCACACATCACACCATGAACGAAGGAGAAAGCTGTCCTCCTCCAGGCTGAAATAAGGATTGAAATAATTGTGTTTGAATAGAGATGAGTCTGTACCTCTCCAGCACTGTAGCTCCGCAGCCTCTGAAGATGTTGTTTGTGAGCAAGGTAACCAGGAAGACGACCATTTTGTAGAGGGATTCGAGGGTCGATAAAGGTGGTAGCACGACTGTTATGATCTACAAAGAAGGACTAAAAGAAAGAAGTTGAAAGTTACATAATGTAGAAAGACCCATCCAGCCTCCTTATCCATGACTGAACAGAGAATAGTTGAAATGCCTGCCAGGAGAGTTCAGTGTAATACTTACTGACTATCAGAGCTCTGCTGCTGTTGAAACCACTGACTGTTGCCAAATAATATCTCACATGAAATACAATTGCTATTCCCATTTTCTCTTTGTATGCATTATTGCATGGATATGCTTAAGTAAACAAAACAAAGCTCAAGAAAATCTTTGATATTATAGTGTATTTTTTGCAAGAGAGTTCTACTGCTCATTTTGAATTCATTGACCAGCACTTCACATATCGAAGTACATCAGTTAAGTTTCAGAACAGGATTCACTTAGCCAAATCTAATAAGCGTGAATGATAAAATTCAGATGTCTCTCTTCATAACACTAAAATTTGACTACAACTGAACACTACCAGGACTGTTTGCTTACCTTGCCCTGAGGGTCTGTCTTGATTTCCCAGCCCCGCGGCAGCTCCAGTTGAGTATCTGCAAACTTATTAAGGAACACCACCAAGTCTCTGTTGTGTTGATACCGCTCAAAGTTTCTGGCATCACGACGGACCTTTAAGATCATGTGTTTGACACAGCTACTGCTGGTGAACATCCTGTAGGCTGCCTGTCACACAAGAAAGAGAAGCCCGTGTAAGGATATACAACACAAACCATACCAGACACACGAAATATAAAACATTAACTAAGGTATTTTTGAAGTTATCATATCTGTGTCAATACTATGACTCACATAGTTACTGTGCAACACGGTGAAGAACTCCGGATGTGTGATGAACTTGACAGCAGGTGACTGGAGGAGATGGCTGAGTTTGGTGTTACTGGATTGAGAGCCTGGACCTGCACAGGTCAGAGTGGTCAGGATATGGTACACTTACATATTACAGTACATGGGAGAGTAACACAGTGTAAAACAAACACAATTTTGGTCTGTTATCTATTGCATTCAAAATGTGCCATGGGCTATCACTAGCAGCATTAGGACCATATCTGCTGCCTTAGGTGCACTGGACCAGCTATAAGTTTCCTGATGATCTAACTCTGACCACACAAGTGCTCAAAGAGCATACGCACCTGTTGGAGTCCACTCTGCCTGTGTGTCAGAGCTGCTTGTACGCTCCGGCCGCGAGCTCTCCCCATCATCCTCTGTGGCCATTGTCCTCTGGATACTTTCATATCTGTGTCAACAATTATGTTAATCAGTCATGGGAAAAATCATGCATTGCAGTCATCATACTGATATGATTGACAAAACATTATAAAGCCTTTTGTTTGGTTTGGTACTCCTCTAGACCTGTTTTAATTTAAGTCGATTCATGTTTTCTATGACTTGGTTTATACCCAGTTCAGAGGAAGTGTGGAGGCAGACTAAAATGATATTTTTAAAATTATAATGATTGCAAAGCCCAGACATATAATGTTGTCCAAAATGTAATTATTTCCAATCTAAAATGGAATGTTGTTGATATGACAGAACATGTATTGACCTGCGGTTGAGCTGCTCCATCTGCTGGGTGGAGCCGGATCGGGGCAGACCATGGCCACACTTGGTGCCACACTCGCTGTGGTTGGGCCGGTGCCAGGTGGTGGTCCGGTGCACATGGTCCACATAGAACACTCTGCCATGGCTGTCCACACGGGCCTCCCAGTCTGCAGCACATACAGCATTAGGTTAGGTTCAGGATTACTTTATCACATAACTGCACAAAGTTGGAAATTTTGTTGACGAGCAGGTCAGAATTCAGTGGTAGAATTTGTTGTCTAACTGTCAAACCACAGATCCTCGTTTAAGGGTAATATTTCATTGGGCCTAATCACATAAAACTAAGTTCCATGCCTTCTCTGTCAGCTCAAAAGAACTATATCTTCAAAGAGTGGTAGTAGTGAAATTATTTAATCACAAAGTCGGGCCTGTTACATGGACTTTGTGCCATAAGTTTAATATAGCAAACTGGTGGACCCCATTCCCAAAACATTTGTGGATTTTTCATATTTGGATATTTCTTTTAAAATTAGTTAATTGTTTCCAATTAAGTTGTCTTGGTTCCTGCCCTCCATTTAACATGTAATTTCTAGAATAACATTAACATATACAGTAGACATTTTCATATTTAGAAATACTTAGAAATTTTGAAATATTAAGAAATTTAGATATAGGCTGTTTCACTTCCCATGAACAATGTGATGAGAATGACATGCAAACAGAAAAGTAACTGCATTAGTGTGAGAAAGCAGTAGACTCTGGGGTAAGACTGGTGACAAGAGCTTACTTGGAGGTAAGGCAGTGTCATTGGCAGGAGAAAAATGGTTTAGCTCATGGCTGGGTCTCAGGACTGGAAGATGGCAAAGAGGAGAGATGGAGTCTGAGCCTACAGGACATACACCAGAGAAATGGGATGTGATGTTATGAGTATAAGGGATGGACAGAGGCAGAATGGTTAGAAAAAATGATGGTTAATTTCAGACAGCCAACTATCTGTATGTGTGAAGAAAAATAGACTGACAGTTGATGGAGAAATAGCACAGCCAACAGGGTCAGAAAAAATGTTGCCACGGATGAAACAGGATTTGAGAATGTTTTACATTACAAACATTATCAAACCACCTAAATGACTGATGACAAGTAGATGTTGTAGGTAGGCTGTTTAGGCTATCAATCAATGAGAAATCAAAAATCTACAATGCTATATTTCCATATTGTCCAAACATCTAGTAAACCAGAGACCAGTTGTTGTTTATATATTTCTTTTTCCAGTGGCGCATGTGAAACAAAGGAGCTCACTGATCATCTATTATTTTGAAAATTAAATTAACAGAATTTAGTGCCTCGCTCATTGATTCTGCAGAAATCCTCAGTGTTTTTCAGTCCCCTGTGATTTTTTTTCCTTTCTTTTTTTCATTGTGAGCAACAATATTTGTTTTGATATGGACGGACCATGGCTTTCCCTGACTGGCTAAATTATCTGTCAATCACGCCCATAAGAACTTAGGGAGATTTAATGATGCCAGAATCACATCTTTGTAAAAAACTGAAGAAGTGAGTACTCTGGAACCAAGGCATCGGAACCTAGATACAAGATTTAGAAACTTATCAAGGCCATAGCACACACCTGATAGGAAAATCAAGTTAGAAAAATTAAAAACCGTCTTAGACCATGAATTTGGTTAAATCCCTTACTTTTTATTATGAGATGAAAAACAATTATGGTGTTGAATAACCAGACACTGAAAATGGATGACCAACCAAAGATGGTTGGCTGAGATATTTATGTATAGTTCCACGTACCATTAACAATATACAATAGACTTGATAAAGATACTTACCTATGCCATGGCGTTCACTAGGACCTGGGACCCCTGGGACACTGCACACTCCTGTTTCTCCTTGACGAGTCTCCTTCTGGGTGAGAGGACGTCCAGCGCCTCCCTCCTGCCCTTCGTCCAGAGCTGACCCAAAGGCGCTATTCTCCTCATCCTCTTCATCCTGAGAGGAGAACACGGTGCTGCCGGAGAGCCTGTTACTGTCTGCAGAGGAGAGGCGTGCATGGTCCCTGCCCTCGTATATTGAGTGGCTCTGGGCTGAGGTGCTGTAGCAGGAGGTACTGTAACAGGAGGTGCTGTAGCAGGACGTGTCACAGAACTCACAGTCGTGCTCACCCCCTGCTCTGGAGCTACCCCCGGGACCACCTTGCTCTTCCTCACTGTACGAGGAGGACCCAGGTGGCCTCCTCCCCTCACCGCGCTCCAGCAGATGGTTCAGCTCGGACAGGCGCTCAATGGACAGGCTGCGGGGTAGAGTGCGCCGACAGCACCTGCCTGAACACTCTATTACCTACAAAACACCACATGTACAAAGGCATTACTGTGTAGATATAGTACACTTATTGTTCCATTAATGTGCTGCATGAGTTATGTTCAGTGAATTGTAATTATGAATGATGTAACTACTGCTAGGGATGAGCGATTGTTGTAGAATAAATTTAAGTAATCCAAGACTAGTATGAAGAAACATGAGACTGGAGTTCTAATGCAGGAGAAGTCTATTTGCCATCATTACGAGACTCAGAGATATGAACACTCAAGGCATAATGATCTGGCTGTGCTTCCAATATAGGGACTATTATAACCCTGATGATGCAGGCCAAGATAACAACGAATGAGCAGGCAGTGTGGGGCTGGCACAGCACAGAAATGTTATTTCTTTCTTCTCTATATGTGATATACCAAAACGTCACAATATTCTGAGGCCATTAACAAATTTCATAAACACACAGTAGCTCTGCACTTGAATAAAGGGTCACTATAGCCGTCTGCTTCTTCTGAGTTCATACTGCTTTGTGATTGGTTAAATTCTCCTGCCACTCACTCAGAGCAGAAGCCAACTAATAGGAGGAATGCATGGAGAAGTGTGTCTGTGTTTGAGCCTAGAGAAGCGAAGTGATTCGCAGTATGATGGCTTCACCAAAATATCATATCGTCAAAGAGATGAGATCACAGTTTGATTTTTAACATCATATCACCCAGCCCTAACCACCACTGTTTCCAGTGACTTAGCAGAGACAGTCTTACCTGTGAGGGAGACTGCGTGGCTTCATCCTCCTCTTCCTCCTGTGCCTCCTCTGTGAGTTTAGGTGTCTGGGGCTCTGAAGATGTGGTTGGACTCTCTCCCTCCTGGGGTTCATCCAGGCTAGATGCTTGAGCTGAAGGCAGACTGTGGAGCAGGTGGTGTATCCGGATGTAGTGGGACCTGGGTGTCTCTGGCTCTCCGCAAGCAGATGCTATCACTGTCTCCAGTTCAGAAACTGGCAAGAGAGCAAGGGCGGGTCTTACGCCCTGAAGGAGCATGGGAGTTGTAGTTTGAGAAGAGAGACTGGCAGCCACAGGGAGCAGGGCTCGAGTCTCCATTACTCACTGTCTGGGATGTCACCAATGATGTCTCAATATTTGTGTCTTGGGTTGGATCAAATTTATCTGAGTTTTCTGATTCTATAGTTAAAACTTTATCATTAGTTGTTTCTTGTGATGGTTCAATCTTTGTCTCATTGTCAGTATCTTTGGGACCCATTGTGACCTGCTCCTCCTCTATGGGCTGTTCCTGTAACTGCTGATCCGCATCAGTAACGTCTGGTTCTTCAGCCTGGACCTCATTGTTCTCAGTACCATTCGTGACTTCTTCTACTGTTTGTTCTTTGTTCTGCTCTGGGCTGTCAGATTGTGCAGGGAGGGTCTCAGCTCGGGGGACACTGTGCTCCGGTGGACAGGAGTCTTTAGGACTATCACCGGGGAGATCCATGATGTCTGGTCCAACACTGACAGCGTCCTCTTCAGGGTTGTTGTGGTTAGTGTCTTCTGCATTGGCTTCAGGTGCTGGTACTTCAATGACAAGCGATAAATCCTCATCATCTGTAAACACAAAGTTACGAGATTACAAATTGAAACATAAGTAATACTGATATAAGTCAGTGTGCCAAGTGCAAAAGAACATTTTGTCGTAAACGTCAGATAAAATACTGGATTGGGCACTGCAGGAGACAGGTGATTTAGTGATTTTTGGGAAAAAGCTACTCTCATAATGACTTGCTGGACTCTACTGGTACTTGCTTTTGCACAAAAAGACCTCATCCTTAAATTAATGAAATACTTAGTAATAAACTATTTTGTTCTAGTTTCTGTGCAACCGTGATGCAGTGTTTACCGTGGTATTGAAGTTAAAAATAAGGACAGCAAAACTGAATTGAAATACCTGGGTGAATAGATGAAGTCAACTCAAAGCGGAACTGCAACTGTCCACAGACATGATCTGTGGGCAACCTTCGACCTAAGGTGTAACTCACAACACGATCACTACAAAAACAGTCACAGAAAAAGTTAATTAAATGTTCACTAAACAAAAAGTACAATAACAACATGAAGTTAAATGGAATATAGAACTTAATCACACATAGAATTTGCAAGAGCAGATAAGACTTTGAAATAAGAGAATGAGAAATTTGATGATTGAAAGGACAGTACAAAAGCTAAAACTAATTACCCAATGGCATGTTTTTCCAGTAGCCTCTGAACGGGGATCGACAGTTTGCCAAGGAACCGTTTGATGATTGGTCGACTTTTGGCAAATTTGTCCTTGACCTCTATTTCCAGGACATCAGTGGGAAGAGACACAAAGCTGAACCTCTGCACACAAATACACACAACTTCACGCAATCTGACTGTTAAAAACTTAAAAGCAAATAAATAAAAACAATCATGTTAGTTGGTCTATAATATGTAATGTAATGTACCTCTGCAGTCCATTGAGGGTTGACAGTGTTGCAGGCCACTCCAGAGCGCTTCTCCTGCCCGTGGTGAGGCAGCGATGGGAAGATGCTGTGTTTGCCCGGCTGAATGCACAGTTTCAGATAGGGGTCCGGGTTAAAAAACATCCCCTTCTTTATCCCCACAGCTTGGATGTCTTTAAAAAGTATACAAAAAAGTTCACATTTAGAAGCCATAGTTTTTACAAGAGACTGATCGATATGGGTTTTTTCATGACCAGTTGTTTAGAATCCAGCACAATTGATGCGCGGTAAGCTCTGCAAATATTTTGTGACCAATATGTAGGATCAGTTTTGATTATTTACTCCTAATTATCTCATTTGAATTTAGTACCAACTCATCCAGGATATTGTTCTACCATAAACTGTATAAAGAGATCTGTGTATTTTGAACAGTACCTTTTTAAGTCTGGTACTGGCTGGTCAAAATGACATCCAATTCAAATCTACTTATTTATCTAACATATTTTATAAACACAACAGTTTCCAAAATGTGGCGAAGGGACCAAAAACTATGAAAACATCATGAATAAATGTCAAAATTGGTTTAGCTAATCCTAAAAATAGTAAAACCAGTACAATCAAATAAAAAACAAACCTTAAAATAGCAATAAATAAGTAAAAACTATTTTAACTATTATAATGAACCACACTTTTCTAATTTTTAAAACAAATATTATTCCAATCTAAACACTGATATAAAACAGGGTAAATTAAATTATTATTGTCATACAAACAGTGGATTGCACACTGGATAAAGCACAGGCTGGGCAAACAAGAGACGGGGGAGAAAATCAACACAACAATATAAAGGATTGGCTCCAGTGAAGTGAAAAAGAAACACTGAAGAACATTGAGATCTAGAACTGTAGTGAACATTCATCATGTAAGACTATAATATACTCTAAATACAACATAAATCATGTATATCTCATATTTCAGACTCCAACCGACGAGTGTGAAATATGAGAACTATAAAAAAGACCCATCAAGAACCAACTATGACAAAGATAAAGTGTTACCTGAGAGAGTGAAGCTGATGAGTCTCCTCCTGCCCTGTTCAGTGTTTACTTCTGGGCTCACCACCGTCTTTGACACCTGCAATCACAATGACTCATTATTCAAATGAATTTAGGTGAGAAACTTATTCAGAATGAGCAGGTACCATGGGAAATCACCCAAATGGCTATCTCTTCAACTGAAACCTGATGCCTAATAATATACATTTTAGTAGTTATATAGTATATTGTACTTTAAAGGTCTTATATTACACAGAATTGACACTTGTGATCTTTAAGCCATGTTAGAACATTGTTACTTTCTGAAACAAAACATACCCAGAGTTGTTTTGTTTCACTCACACATGTTTAAGTAATTACTTTATTATTATCTGTCTCAAAAAGCTCTGTTCCACCTATTCTTCTCTAACACCAGTTAATTTTCCTATTGACATTACATACAGTGAATTAATCACAAACCTAGCAGATATTAAACAATGATATCCATTATAACCTTTGTATTTTTGGATTGCAACAATGTGTTGAAGTGAACCATACTGTAGAAGTGCTGGTCTTTATGGTGACACTGGGGGTGGTTGCTCTCAAAGCTCCACTGACTCCGTGGTAATACCTGAAGCACACCTGAGTCTCAGCTGAGGACACACAGAGGACACAAATGAGAACAGCTATCCACTAGACAGAGTAAAGGACACACAACTAAAAATACTGTTATTATAAGGGGAATTAGTTCATTTCTAATGTTTTTCCTCTTCTGTGTGATATATGTGATTTTAATATCAGCTATGTAGAAACCCCAGTTATATTTTACTGTTTTATTATATTAATCTTCTAAGTTGTTAAATCTGTACAAATGACGTAATTATTTCTTGTGCTACATGTATAATTGACTCATAATTAAACTTACCATTAGGGAAGGGTATGGTTGTGTCAAATTTCCATACAATCTGTCCTTTTTGGGAACCATTGATTCCTCTGCTTTTGTAATCTAGGAAGTTTTCAGAGGACGTTTCATCTGGAAAAAGAAGACTCCAGTAAGACATGACTTTAATTATTCATACTATTTAAAATTACATTCAGTTTGACAATACAGGTCCAGCTAGTTTGATTTATTTTGCTCTGCCTGGAACATTCAACAGTATAGCATTAGATTTCTCAATGGTTACAACCAGTTGGCATTGCTTTGGTTCAACAAATCAGATCTGTGGAAATGTCAGACAGCACATGTTTTCAACATATTATTGCTAATAAAAACAACTCTAGCTGAATAATGCCATACTTCCATACATTCCAAACAAGGCAATAACATCTCCACCAGAAATGTCTCCACCAGCAACTTTAATATTTATTTTATAAGGTAAATCATGAATTCAATCAGCCTGCAAACCATGCCACCTTATTCAAAAATAATTACTATAAAATCAACAACAATACAACTTATTTATTACCAAGGAGATACATTCCAATCCAGTCCCCAGCATCCACATCCTCTTTAATGTCCCAGGATATGACCAGATCTTGGGACTGTCCTACGGTGTAGTGAGAGGCGCTGGCTGTGAGAGTGGAGCGGGCGTCGGGGGAAACAAGGTCGGTGTCACTGGTGGAACGGGACAGACCAAGAAGGAGGGAGTTGGAGACGGCGTAGGTCTCTGGGCTGAAGCTGAGGCGGACCACATCCTTGGAGCGCTGCTGGGCCTGGCTACTGCGTGAGGGGGAGGCCATGGACGCCAGGCTCAGAAAGCAGTTCTGGTGCAGGTTCTACAAAACACAGTACCTTTTTTTTTTTTTTTCTTTTAAAGCAACCTTCAGGGTACCATTTTATAATAACAACATATAAATTTGCCTTAACAACTAATACTGAACAAATACTTCATAATTAACAAATTGTTTCAGGCATAGTAATTACAGGTTAGATTTAGGGAATTAATTAAGCAGTTACTAAGCCTAAATAATTCTTAATAAACTATTTGTTCATTAAGACGTGTTAATTAAGTGTAGTGTTCACTTTCTGAGTAAGGAAAGCTAAAATAAGAATGAAATTATGTAAATTACATCATCATCAAAATTTAGCCTCTAGCAGTGTAATATGTTTTGTTTATTTGATATTTGCCTTAGAGCCCAAAGTTTGGGAGAAAGGTGGAGGAAAAGTAATTTAAATAGTGTTTGTCACAGATTCTGCTGTGACTATGATAGCACAGGTAATGCTTATTTGATTTTCTTTTAACAGTTTAGAGTAAAAATGTCACATTGCATAAATTTAATCTTTTTTTTTTTTTTCTTTTTTTTATCAGTACACGTAAGTTGCACTTGTTTATGATAATTATACAATTATATTAATTTGCCATAACAAATTATTTCGTCAGTTTTTAGACTATGGGGGGTCAGAGCATGGTGTCGTCTAATGGAAAAATGGGAAGATTTTGCTATTGACATTACACTGATACAGGAAATTAATCACAAATCCAATTTAGACATATTTTGACACTTAATTAACAAATTCTCGTAAGATTAAATAACTGTACCTTTAGAAAACATACATTTCATAGGCAGCATCCTTTAGCCTAACAGACTAGTCTCCAGTGGCTGCTATCAGTTCGCAGAAACGGAAGATTGACATGTCGAATACTAAAAGATCTTAACTGAGACTCATAAATCATTGAACAGCCCGTAATAGAGAAGCACTTTGCGTAGCCCTGTTCCTCTCACTGTTATTAATGGTAACGCATGACTTGGATCGTTAACAATCACATCCTTCCATTTCCAGAGCGGAGGATGGTTGGATGTCACCCGAGAGCGGAGCTAAGGTGCGGCCGCTGCTGAGGAGGAGAGGAGGAGGCTACATCGTTTAGCATCACTCAGAGATGGTGGCAGAGGCTAAACGCTCCTACCTGAGAGAAGAGGACGGATCGGATCATGCTCCGGCAGAAAAGGTCCAGAGCCCAACGGCATACACGCGTGCTGATCTAACGTCCAACAAGATCCATCGGTTCTGGGAAGGCAAAGCGGAACGGACACAGGAGCACACGGACGGGCCGAGTCACATCGTTCTCTGGGATAATCGATAGTAAAGCCGGACAAATACTGAAGGACTTCCGGTACTTCATCAAAAAAGTGCATAGCATATACGGTCAAGGGAAATGCTTTTTGATAGTTATAATTTGATTGTATGTGATTTTGTCTTCTCGTTTTAAGTTACTAATAAAGTTACGCCTCATTAATTACAAAATAATTCATACAGACTTTTATTTTGAAAAACAGCGTCCGTGCTCGTGTCACTGTAGGTCTCGTGACAAAGATGGGCTGCGTTACCCTTTAGCCCATTGGAGCGTGAATTATCTGCGCAAACTCAATAACATGCGTGTGCGTGTGTGCTGGAAGGATTTAAGGGGGTCGAGTTTGCGCTATTTTTATTTTATTTATTTATTTTTTTTTACTTCAAACATGCAATAAAATATAAAATAAAAGGACAGCAACGTGTGACTTTAATTGGATATTAAAAGGCGATACTGTCTAAAATTAACCACTATATGCTTTGTTTATTAAAAAATATTTTTTTAATTAAAAAACATTCTAAATGCTTTTTGTTGTTGTTGTTGTTGTTGTCTTGTAGGGTTAAACATGGGTGAAAAAGCATTGATAACAGTTCTTTGCCTTGGGTCGCAAATGTCCAAATGAGGAGCTGTCCCAGGGCTCCAGTGCTGAACGGGCCCAGGCGCGTACGAAGGCGGAGCTGTCAGTTTCAGCACCACCGCAATATGACAGCTTGTAAAAGGCTATCTAACTTAGGGACAGAGTATAAAACCAGTTCCAGCTCAGTACTTCCCTTTTTATTGTCTTGTCAATACCTAAATCAATGGTCGGTTGCTTTCACACCTTATTCATATATTGATAAATGTGTTTAGGGCGACATCTTCTGGGTATGCAGTATATAACTACACAATGGTTAAGATTTTTTTGCATAAAAAAAATTATAAAATAAAAATTATAGGATAGAGTTATTTTTCTACTGCCTTGTGATTGGCTGATGTTATTTTTCTGTTCTGTGATTGGTTGCAGAAATTCTCCCCAGGATGCTGTTACCCATCTGGATCACAATGGGGGTCACCTGCACCCAGCATGACTTCTTTTCACTGCCTCTCCTATACTTTATTCCCATAAAAAAGCTTTCTGTCAGAGCAAATAATATTCAGAACGCTCAGACAGATACTTAGATACTTTCAAAGACACTACACTAGATATTTATCATTCAGTTGTTAAATCTCAAATTCAATTTTTGCTTTATTTAATTACCTTCTTTATGGTCCTGGAAATTGCATGTTAGTAATTTAAATGATTTCCCCTACAGTGGACAAGTTTAATTATGAAATTCTTAGCATTAAAATTGGCCACATGGTTAACAGTATTATATATCACAATATGTTTATATGTTAATAACACCAATCAGATTTTCTGGCTAATATTCCAGACTGTTGGACACATCATAGGCTATCATTATCATCTTAGTACTATTTATTAGACTTTTCAGGGTTAGCAAACACTGTAAGGGCTAAACCAGGCCACAATAAGGAAAGCTCATGCAGTCGCACAAATAAGGAGACTGTACATTGCTTCAACAGTTTCAATATGATTTTGTTAAATTTAATAAACAGTGTATGGTAGTTTAATAGATCAATTCTTTTATAGCATTGTTTAGGTTGACATAACTTGGAGTTGCACTGAATCCAGAGGCTCTCAACACTCCAAATGTTGTGGAGCGAAAGCGGTCGATGAAAACAAAGTGGAAAAATGTTGTTGTGAATGACTTCCGATTGAGTGTTTTTCTTGTCATTCCCTTTCATCACTGAACGACAAAAAGTCCATAATTGCACAAACAGTGCAATTGCACAAAAAGTGTCACTTGATAGTCTCTAATATTTGGTCCATTATAACTGAGAGAAGAGCTGAGCCGCATTGTCTACATTTACAGCCTCTTTAGGGGTCTCTTTAACTACCTGAGAGATAGAAAAGAAATGTGTCATATTAATAAATGTAGGTTTATTTTAAGCAATCTGAAAATAAATTTTCCAACTTTCTATTTTACCAGCGTTTGCTTCTTGGGCTCAGCACCAACTGATTTTGACACACTTTTCATATCCCTCTGGACTTCTGTGAACATCTGATTGAGATTCTCCACCTTCTCTTTCTTTAATGTATTAATCTGTAAAAAACTAAAGTGAAAAGAGATACACAAAACATTTCTTGCGCAATCCAGATAGAAACTTACGTGTTTTAAAGTGGTCTTGACTGGTTTGGCTTTGTTCTTCACCTTCAAATGTTTGTTTGCAACTTGGAAAACATTCTGCTGTTTTTTTCCTTTTTGTTTATTTTTCCCCATCTTTCCTGCAGCAGAGAAAAATTTATAAATTCAAAAATGATAAGTCTTATAAAGAGAGACATGTAAAAATCTGATTAAGTTCCATGACATGCTGTCTATGTCTATTCCACAATATTAGAAGCAAGCAAATATTTAAGGTCCCATTCGTTATTACCATGTTATTATCTGTTTATTAATGGCCCTATATTATGCAAAATTGACTCTTGTGAGCTTTAGGCCATGTTATAGTGTTATTGCCTCATCAAAAACATACCTGAAAGTGTGATTTGTTTCAAGTGTTTGTGGTACCCTTCATTATTAGTTTGTCTACATCTCCAAAGCTCAAAATGCTCTGTTCCACCCATAGAATGTACCTTTTGACTTTAGTTTAGTAGAGATCAGAAAATCAAGGTCTGAAATAAAACAAATAATTCTATTGAAGGTATATGGATTTTAAAAACACAGTAGAGCGTGTCCTGTATTACCACATGATATCACCAGGTGGAACAGTGTGATTTCAGTTTGAGAGAGGAACTCAAGTCTAAATATGCAGGATTTGTGTGTTAAACATGTGCGAATGAAACAAAACATTCCAGTTATGTTTTTGATGAGGAAACAACATTATATTGAATCAAAAAATAGCGTAATAAGAGTTATAAAAACAGATATAACAGAAGAGTAACTAAACAGTGCTATCATAGTGCACGATTGAGGTTATATTGATGTGTCATCTTTCTTTAAATAATTTTCTTTTTCATGCAAAAAAGCTTGAATTTACATAAGTGGTTTCAATAATCAGAAATGATATTCAACATAAATATTGGCTGTTGAATCATAAAGAAGCTTGATAGACGTGTACGAAATAACATTTCAGACTGCAGATTTAAAATTGTAGATTTAATTCGAGCTAAACCTTCTTCCCTTAAGAAATGTAGTACTCCTTTAATGGGTTAAATGCCAGACAAACGTGATATAAATACCTGTAAAAGTGGTTGTTGATGTTTTCACGTGAAGCTGAGAACTCGTGCGTCCCTTCTAAATCACGTCATTTACGCGCGACTTGTTTCCAGCCCCTGTGACCCAGCTGTGGCCACCAGAGGGCAACAGAAGCAGGTGCTGGGAAAGAAATTCCAGCACTACTCTGTAACAGTTATCTTTTAATTATTTATCTGTTATTATCTGTTGTTATTTTTTATTTTATTTTTTGTAATGTGTTAGAAAATAAAGGATTTTTTATTTTTTTTTATTTTTTTTTTGTTAAGATCTGAGGCTTACGGGGAATATGTGGAAAAAATATTGGACTAACGTAATATATGATGTGATATGATTACATTATCTTTAGTTTAGATTATGTTATATAAGGTTACTTGGTTACTAAAGCCAGCACTATGTTGTTTGGGTTAGGGTTATTTTTGATAACTATAAATAATTATATTTCATTATTATTTTTACTAATCAGTAAGAGTCATACCTAAGACAGCTTGATCTAATACTCACTCTGAACTCTCCTCCTTAAAGCTCATTTGGGCTGCGCTTGAGGGCTATCATCATTCATCATCCCTCATAGATATGAGTGTCATATAATTTGCATGATTAGTTTAGCCTACTTTGGAAAAGGTTCTGAGGCAAATGTCCTCTATCCCACTATCACCAAAATTAATACGCTGTGTAAAATTTGCATAATGTGGCCTTTAAAATGATAATCGCTAACCATCACTGATAGAAAATATGACATTTTTATTTTTTTTTAATCATTGCATTGTTAATAACTAAACAGCAGGTGTCACCAGAAACCCACCACTGTCCCCTGCGTAACCAAGGGAACACGGTGGGTTTCTGAACGACAATGTCATTTATCTTCTTTGAGGACATCTGTGCAATAATATGGCGTGGGGATCTGATTTGGCGCTTCTGGGCTCCCCCTGTCGTTCTATTTCACGGTGCGTCTCTTGCGCTTTTACGCATTCCTTCACAAGTGAATAATGATTGATGTTTGCCTTTGACTGGCGTGTCCTTCAATGAAAAACACTCACTATTGATTAACTCGGCTTGGGAAATCAACGCGAGATTTCGGTGTCAGGGCTTATCCTCGCCACACAGCCTATCCAAGCGCTACTGTGGGCCGCGTCGTGTCATCACTGTAGAGCGCGTGAGTGCAATGGAAGAAGAGGAGCCGTATTGATCTATGGCGGGCTATGCAGCAACGGTGCAGCTCATCTAAACTCCTCCCGACCCCGTCAGAGCGCAGGGACCGTGCACAGTCAACGCCTCCAGTCCGATAGTACCACGCGCGCGCGCGCAGACACGCACGCGGCCTGGACGGGGGGGACCCTATATAAGTGCTGCAGCTGTCAGGTGGAGGACACTGCCTGCCTTTGCGTAAGGGGAGCAAACACGTCATTGGGATTCCTGACTCAAAGACCCTCACACAGTAACCATGTCTTGGGGATACGCACCACATAACGGTGAGGAGAAAAACCTGGATGGATTTAATTGTCACTGTGCACGATTCAATGCATTTTCACTTAGGGTGTGAAAATTATGTATTGATGTTGTCATTGCAGGGCCAGACAAATGGGCCGATAACTTTCCGATCGCCAATGGACCACGGCAGTCTCCCATTGACATCGTTCCTGATGCGGCATCCTACGACCCCGGCCTGAAACCCCTCAACATTAATTACGACCCATCCACCTGCATGGACATCCTCAATAACGGACATTCCTTCCAAGTGACCTTCCTAGACGACACGGACAGCTCAAGTTAGTCGCATATTTTTCTGAATTTATTTTATTAAACTACAAAATCACTATAATTAATTGCAAGAAGTACTGGTGATTCACATTCTCTGGAATTCTTTGTGTTCCAATCACCATATTTGCACTGAAAGCCTTCCAATTGGGTTCCCTACACAAAGAGACTGAACATGATTGGACAGCACCTGCAGACCACCTCACCACCAGCAATATCTATACAGCATCCTATATAGGCCATTACAAATAATACATAGTGTCCTACTTGCATCCTATCTGACTTTTTTTTTTTTTTTTTTTTTTTTTTGCATATATAGCTATTCTCTAAATTTTTAATGAACTGAATCTCACTGTAGGCACTCAGTGTTCCCATGCAGAGTACGAGCACAAAGCACCCTAATTGTAATTGAATTGGTAACACAGCCCATGCTCCTAATTTTTTCCCACAACAAAGCATTTTCTCCAAAGCCGTGGGGTCAAAGGACTAGAAAACGAAGGTTACGATGCAAACAAGACTGTCACGCTAAACTATTAATGGGCCATGTCAATCCTTCAGGGTCATATGACAAAGGACTTCATGTTCTGTTAAGATGTAATTCCTCCTAGTTTTTATCTAGATTAAAAATGGTAATTGAAAATGCTGGTTATGTAATCACACTATGGATTATGTTTCCACTGATGTAAAAAAAAAAAAAAAAAAAAAAAAAAAAAAAAGCCGCTTAATTCTTTGTCATCTTACTCAGTATAGGCTTTAAAATAGTACTCTTGTCATGTCTTGTCACCGCTCATGTGATGCATCATGTGTTGGAATACATGGAACCATAGTTATCCTGCATTAGTTCTATTTACAAGTTGTCTATTTCCTCACTTCAGCTAATACAGTAGGACAATAGAGAGGCTTATGCACCAACAATATACATAGCTGCGACCACAGCCCCTCCTCAGATAGGTGCATTATGTAAGGAAGCTGATTTGAAATTGTTTAACAATACCTGTGCATCAGCTTGAGTGTCCTTAGTGATTATACAACTTGGGTCCATCAGATATTAATGGTTTTGTGTAGATATTAAGTGTAGAAGTCTTATCACCTTGGTTACATATGTGTTCACTTATGTTGGCTTCTTTAATAATAAGTTATAAGTAGATCTGAAACCAATGATTTTGCATGTGTATAAAGCTTTTTAGCACCTGAGTATATTAAACTAGATGTAATAACCAGAATAATCATGTTGACAATTCAATCAGTTCTAATCATCAGTGACCAGCTTGGGTCTTTTTAATGGAGAGGTATAAAGCTAAACTTGTCCATAAACACAGGTGATTCAGAGCAGAGTTCAGTTTTCTTATCTTTTTTGCAGTAATTTGCATATATCATAATTCAGTTTAGGAAGTCAAAGTTTTTGATAAGACGAATAAAATTTAATTACACAAATTTTTAATCTTTCATTCAATCTTTTCAAATTTATTTTATTTTATTTAATGAGACATGGACAGCGCACAATTTTTACTTTAACCTTAACAGGAGAGATGCATTGTACCAGTTTGTAGGACCAGTGCTAATTTACACCTGTAGTCCCGGGGCAGGTTCATTGATTGATTGTATTTAACTTTTAAATTTAAATTTTATTTAGCATATCGCTGTAGCCCTTTCCTCTGATCTATACCATAACTTCATGCTACAACAGTATTATCTATTTGGATTGCATAGAGTAATAACTGATTGTGCTTACATTCTGCAGCTCTTCGTGACGGGCCCATCTCAGGAGTCTACAGGCTGAAGCAGTTTCACTTCCACTGGGGGGCCTCTGACGACAGGGGCTCTGAACACACAGTGGCTGGGACCAAGTTTCCTGCTGAGGTAAGACTCCTTTATCAATATTTCAACACAGATATAATGTTTGCTCATGGCGTAACAGTGTTCTAAAAATATGTCTTTTTGTCCTGAAGCTCCATCTTGTGCACTGGAATACCAAATACCCAAACTTTGGGGATGCCGCTAGTAAACCTGATGGGCTTGCTGTGGTGGGCGTTTTCCTGAAGGTCAGTGCAATTGTATCTGATAATTTTGTATACATCTCAGGTTGCCGAGGGTGACGAGAGCAATTGTATATGTAACCTGTGTAGTGTCCTATAACCATCAAAGAGCAGAACATTTATTGGTGTGAATTACAGTGGAATTATTCAAAATCATATTGAGAAGATATTTAACCACCAACTGTTCTACCTTCACATTCAAAAAGTTATTCAATTGTGTTAATTTAAAATATAACACATACAAAGTGTCCATATGTTCAAAATGTATGTGAACATTTATGGTAAAATTCTGTATTTTCGGGTATGTAGTTCATAAGTAGAGCTGCTACACATATGCAAGACAATTGAACTTTTTAGATCTGTATAGAAGGTCCCTCCCTGTTGTAATTTCTTCACTCAAAATAACCCAAAATCTCCTAAAAATTGATGACGATTATATTTCCTCTCTTTTCAGCCTGGAGATGCCAACCCCAACCTCCAGAAAGTACTTGACTGTTTCGATGCCATCAAGGCCAAAGTATGTCCCACTGCATTGCACTACACTTACAGCCAATTGCATGCTTCTGTCTCACCTTGCATTTGTTTGTTTTAAGGGCAAGCAGACCACCTTTCCTGGCTTCGACCCTTCCACACTCCTGCCCGGGTCTCTGGACTACTGGACGTACGACGGCTCTCTGACCACGCCCCCTCTGCTGGAAAGTGTCACCTGGATCGTCTGCAAGGAACCAATCAGCGTCAGCTCTGAGCAGGTAAGACCATTACGAAGTACTATTCAGGTTTTAGCTTACACCTGTACCGGATCACTGCCTGTTTTCTTCAGTAGCCGTTTTCTAATACACTCAACAAAATAATGGATTAATTGTTTGGTTATCCGTGCAACTGAAATGTGAGGATGACTGCATTAGTGATAAACCTTTACTTAAAGGGTCCATTATTACATTATTACATTATTACATTATTATTATTTCTGTGTTATAATGTTATTTCTGCATCAAAAACATTTCTGTTGTTGTGTTTTGCTCATGATACAGCTTCATGGCATCACAAGGTTGAACAGAGCATTTTGAGCTTTGGGATGTAGACAAACAAATAATGAAGGATTACCCAAACATGTATGAATGAAATGAAATACAACTGAGGAGATAACAACATTCTAACAATAATCAATTTTGTGTAATATACGACCTTTAAAGAAACTTAAGCTTGCAAATGTCAAGTGGTTTGTTTACCCAACTAAGATGCACTAAGGTGGTGACGGTAAGAAGCATGCAACACTGCGCAACAGATATTTAAACACAGTGTTGGAAGTGAATGTTTTTCAGAATGATACTATCTATGTTAATGCTGTGTACTTTTGATGAGCAATAACCAAACTATAGATAAGAGACTTATGACATCCACAGAGGTTAATTTCCCTTGCAAAGTTCTGTATAATTCAATTGACCACATTCAAAGCAGAGATAGGTTTAAGTTGAAATTTGCATTATAAAATTATAGTGGTTTTCTGTATCTATTTGACTTTAACACTAGCCACTAGGTGTTGCCGTCATTTTAACCTTTACACTGATTGCAAAAGATAACAAACAGTCATTAGAGAAGTCATTAGATTATATAAACATAAAACACACACAAGTAATAACTTAGTAATAATACTTTATTAATGGTAGTGCCAGTGTTAATGAGTCATTTGATACCAAACCTAGATAAATGTAATAAACCTTTCTCACATTTGCATATTGGAAGAGTAGTTGAAACAGAAGATTCTAATGCATTGAAATGTGTTGTCATTAGAGGTTAGGGATCACATTTTAGTGTTACAACAGAAGAAGAAATATTTAAATTTTATGATTATTCACAATGATTTAAACCATGACCAAACAACATGAGATCCTTAAAGGGCTTTTGACTCTTGGAGTTGTGATTTGTTTCATTCACATATGTTTGAGTAACCCTTTATAATTAGTCTGTCTACATCTCCAAAGCTCAAAATACTCTGTTCCACCTTGTGATATCATCAATTGGTAGTTTTCAAGTTAACAGTAACCTTTTGCCTTTAGTTCAATAGAGATTGGTAAAAAGTTGATTTTAATAATTTAAATTATTTAAATTGGTCAAAGGACTGAAAAGATCCAAATGATTCTAGTGAAAGTGTATAGAGTTTAAAAACACAGTGGAGTACTTCCTGTGTTAGCACATGTCATCACAAGGTGGAACACAGTGTTTTCAGTTTGAGAGAGGAGCTTAGCCTAAATATGCACAGTTTGTGTGTTAAACATGTGAATGAAACAAAACACAACTCTGAGTATGTTTGTGATAAGCATTATAACAGGTGAGAAAATAGTGTAAGATGGGCCCTTTAAGATTATATTTTTATCTGAATATTCACAATTCAAGTAGCCAAATCTTGACAAGCCTAGTTGTTATTACTGATCTACACACATAAGACAATGCCTTTTCTCACAGTTTTCATAGACTGTTTAGCGTGACCTAACTTCAGCCCTGTGTTGTCTTTGGTGAGTGACACGGGAGTCGCTCTAACCGTCTCGTGTTTTCACAGATGGCCCGATTCCGTAGCCTGCTCTTCACGCCTGAAGGTGAGGCCGAGTGCTGCATGGTGGACAACTACAGGCCTCCCCAGCCGCTCAAGGGCCGCTCCGTCCGCGCTTCCTTCAAGTAGTGCCCCGGCCCCTCCTCCATCACGACCCCCATTCTGCCCCAGTGCCCTCACCCTTCCCCCCTTTGCCCTTTGACAGTTGCAGTGAGCACACACCTCGCCCGTCCATTCAAGTTCTTGCACTGAGATTAATTACTAAGGAGGGAGCAGTGGTCATGTAAACCCTATCACATTTGATCCAACCAAAAACAGTCAACTTAATATTGGGCTGTTGCATAGTTTCAAGCCATGTGAGACACCTAAGCTAAAAATAGCAGGTTTGATAATGCAGCTTAATGATAGAACTGCAAAAAAGGCATTAAAGACTCTTGCTGTTTATCAAACAACCAGAAAATGCTTGCTGATAAGCTGTATGCTTTAGACATATGGCACGTTTTAGATAAGTAGCTTAGATTTGTTGACAGGGTTTGATTTTATTCACTATTTTTGTTTTGGGTGAAATGTACTCAAAAATCATGAGTTAATTTAAGTTGCGACACCAACTGCTAGAAAAAAATCTTACTTCTCCTTTAAAGAATTAACATCTGCCATCTATGGATTATACAATTTTGTGCCAAACTCTTAAGCCATAACAAAAAGGCTTGCCGTTCCTTACATTTTAAACCAAGAACAGTCGTGTATAATTTTAAAAGGTGCTTAGTCATGAGGTAGCTTGGAGTAAAAAGCACAAGCAACCTGACTGGTGTGATGGGACAGGACCGTAGTACATATGGCCATCTGTGAAGCGCAGGGTACAGATAAAAAGACCTCCGTCCTACTGTCCCTGCCCCTTCCACTCTGAGCGTAATCTGTCCGAACGAGTGGCAGCGGCTTAGTAAAATGTTCCGGACCACCCCCATCTCCGCCAAACGAGTCCGAAATCCCCCTCTGGCCTTTACACATAACATCACAGTAAAAGCACACACTAGTATAGGCACTGACCTTCTTATTGATTCACAGAGTTCATGAGGACAATGGATTGTGGTAGCCTCACACACCAGGACAATGATCGCTTTTTGTTGTATGTATGTCTAGGTGGATTTTTTAAGTCTGATGCATGGTTTGGCTACATTCCGTCATGCAATGATTCATTTAAATACAATAATGTAAAAAAAAAAGAAAAAAAAATCATCTTAGCTATTGAAATCACAGCAACCTATTGATTATAATGGAATGAATGCATTTTGTGGTGTACATTTAGCCAAGCCTGCAGAGTAAAGTCTTAAGTCATTCTGTACCAACATGAATAATTTTGATACCCTGATATGCAACAATATGATTGAATGAAACGGCATTTTAATATTGTTACAAATCAAGCATGTGTTGATGCTTTAAATGCGCAATCGTCAGGTAAGCTATGCCATAGACTGGTCAGCAAAAACAGCTAGACTGTATAGCCAAGGAAGAACCCTGCCAACTGAAAAGTCCCTGCAGAATCATTAACAAACTTTGTCCGCGTTGTAAAGGGTCTCTGTCAGCGAAAATGCAAAGAGTGGTTCAAAACTGCAGTATGAATTTACGTTCAGATTGTAATTAACTCAAATGGATTATGGAAACGCCTTATGCCAGTCACTTTTTCAACTCGTCCAGCACAATGTTCTTGTTGTGGACTTTTTAGTAGTAATAAATATATTTTATGAAAAAATAACTGCAGTTTTTGTGTCTTCATTTTATGTTGTCTGTAAATCACCAGAATCACAGCTCAGCGCACTGATAATATGATAATTAATAATATTATTAATTATAATATTAAGATAATATGTTGTATAGAGTCCAATATTAGAGCTCTGTTGGGAAAAGTTTAGAAGATATTGCAAAAATGACTGTCAAATGAATTACAAACAAACAAAAAACATATAAATATGATAAATGATTTGAATTCTAATAATTATTGCAAATTTTTCTCATGTTAGTTAATCTTCTTACCTGTTCCCTTTACTTATTTCTACACTACATGTAACATTTTAGATACGCTCGCTAAATGAGTAGGTGGACTTTGCATCTTTGTACTGTCCCCATGTTTACGCTCATTTGCAAACACCCACTAAGGCACCCGAGGAGGTCACCAACAGTTCAAACGCTGAGGTCACCGAATCTGACGTATAAAAAATCATGTACAAAAAATGTCAATCATGTCTAAATATTTCAAGTTTTAACTGCAAATGACAATAATGACTAGATCTAGAAGCTGCAGCTGCGTTTCAGTCACACGCTACGATCACTTCCCACCTCTTTCATAAATGCTTCACAGTAAGTCGAGACAGCGTTGCTATCTATTCCTGTTACTGCTGCTACCAGATCAGACATGGAATAAATGAGAGTGGCCAAATGATTCATGGATGTCTCCTATGCACTAAATGACTGGCTGTTCCCTGCCAGAAATCGATTTATAATGAACTTGTAAATGGAAAGTTGTTTGTTTGGTCTAGAGTAAACCATAGATATTGTGTATGTTGACCATTTTGGTGTAGTATTACAATTAGGTTTTGATGTTAAAAAGGATTTGACGGCACACAAAATCTGCTATCTCCACAATATGGCAATACTGTCTGCTTATTTAATTCGCCAAGGTCATGAAAGTGTTATTGCTGCTTTGATTTAAAGGCACATGTAACTTTTGGTAAATAGTCACATTTTTATACATCAAGGAACCACTCACCCATTCACGCACACATTCATACACTGGTGTATGCAGACACTAGGAAAGGGGTCTCCAACCTGTAGCTGGGGAGGTACCGGTAACTCGCCACCCCCTTCTTAGTAGCTTGCCAATTACATGTATTGTTCTGAATAAGTAAAATGTGATTAATTAAATGCCTATTACCATTGTACCTGTATCATTTTAGTGTCTAACTTTGCATGGTTTATGTTTTATAGGTATCTAATTGTATGGCTCACGTGGCTCTTAAATATACATAATTTCTTTTGACTGCTAAAAATAGCAGCTCTCTGGCATTTTCATTTTTTCATTTTCGTTGATCACCAGAGGAAAAAGGTTGGAGATGCCTGCACTGGGGCAAGTTGGGCTAAGCGTCTTGTCCAAGGACACAACGACAGCATTCATCTAAGATCAAGAGAGCTGGAATCGCATCGCCAACCCTGTGAGTCAGTGGATCTGACCGCTCAACCAATGATGTTTATGTCGAAAGCGGGATTCGAACTTTCAGATCAGTGAACAAACACTTTACCAACTGAGCCCCCGTGAGGATATTATTGCTTTGTCTGGAAATGCCATGCCATTAAACATATCTACATTTCATTACATACTTTTTTTTTTTTTTTTTGCATTTATGTGATTACATGTCAAAGAGTTAAAAATATCTTTTAAAACATGCATTTTTGCCTCTCCACATAAGCCTTGTAAGTTGTCCTGGTGGTGCTACTTGCTTGTGTCTATTGAGATCAATATATGTAATGCTTCACTGTGGAACATTCTAGGCAACGCTATCAGCTCAGGGTCGAAAGTAGCAAGCCTATTGATTAGTACAGCTCTGATCTCTATCCAACAATCAAAACCCCTTAGCCATTTTTACACTGCAACAACATTATGTCTGTCTGAGTTCTCCAGCCACAATCAATATACTGTACACTACCAACATATATATTATTTACTTTCATTATCTAGAGCATACTTGGAAAATTCTTACAGAAACTTGATATCTTTTTAATAGAGTAAAAAGAGTTATGATGTAACAAAGTGGTAATGCATTAGTCTTAGTAGTGTTAACACCCACACAACAAAGCAGTGCCGCAAGTCCTCTGATGTTTTCGGTGTTATGACAGCTGCTGAGAGGAAGAACATGCTGGGTACCATCAAATATAGAATCTATGTGAAAACCTCTTATCTAGTCATATTAACTGCTAGCAGATAGACAGCATTGATACTTCGCGGTGACGTCATGCTGGGGGTGATTTACATGTAATATCTCTAATGGTAGAATGTTTAGGAGTACAGAGTACTGCCTTTAATCAGTATCACAGCCCCATGAATGCTGCAAAGTGAACCCTTTAGTACAAACTGAAGCCACAGAATACTGCAGTCACTTTACAGTTGTTACCATAGCCACCCTCCCCATTACTGCAGCAGGTTGCATAATGAAGCGTGTCCAGATAGTGACATATATGAGGCAGACAGGAGCTATGCCCATGGCTGTGTTGGGAGAGGACAGCGGGTGACGGATGGGGGGCACCCAAGGCAGGTTCACATGGTTGGGAAGGGTGTTGGCTACAAGATAAAGAACTGTATGAATATGCTGCTTAATAAATTATGCCTTATTTGACACTAATCTGAACTTACTTTGAATTCATTACTACCATGACTACATTATTGCTCATTGTTATTATATTATATTATCATGTGTCTGCTACTGTGTCCAAATTATTTCCCTATTAGATCAGTAAAGTTTGTCTGAGTCTAATTTTTTCACTATTTAAAGACTTTTTTAATTAGTAAAGCAAAGCAAACAAATGTAATCTAGTTGTCTGTGCAGTAAATGAGTAGGTAGGTAGGAGGTGTAGTTTACTTTTATGGGGTATTGCTTTCTAAAACGTAACATATTTAGATCATCATGTTACCTTTCTTGTTACCCATTTTGTGATTGAAACTACTGCACATTGCATCAGGTTTGTGAAGTTGTAGTGTACTGTTTTGTATCATGTGTTTGTATATTTATGGAGAATTGTCGTGCAGAAGCATGGGTGACGTAGGTTTGTGGGCTGAGTCGTGGACAGAGTCGTGCTTCTAACCACAAGGAGGGTTTGCATAGGTCATGGGAGAGATTGTCACATTATTCAAACATGATATCTAAAACCACCTCAGGCAAGTTTTTAATGGAGGGAACAATGTTATAACATGGTAGAAAGTTATAAAAAGTCTATTTGCATAACATCCCTTCTTTAATATTTATAGCTTGCTCATATTGCCACTACAGGGATTTCTTAGGATGTGGGTCTTTAGTTTGGAAAGATAGGCCAAAGGTGCAGCCACATTCTTGGCAATCTGCCCCCGGGCAACTATGGCAACAGAAGTTTATATGTAGTGCTGTCCATCTCCAGATTAAGTTCAAATCCATTGGTGTCCTATGCTTGAATGCTATGGGAGTCAGAAAAAATGTCAGTCATTCATTCTAATCACCCACTATCTGTCTTTTGTGAATAATGGTTCCAGCAATTGATTTGAATGTTGTTTCAATGATAATTCATCTGGTGACATGAATAGTGTATTCTCTCAGTTATACACATGTTCAGGAAGTGTCCTCTCACCAAAGGCATTTTTCATTCTGTCCACAGGAACGGCTCACGTAAACATCTCAATGGTTAATTTCCTCTGTGAACTCCGGCTCATATTTTTCTTCTATAGAGTAAACATTTAGATCTTAAGATGTCTGTTTGACAACTATGACAACAATTTGTAATAGCAGTTTCAAATAGTCCTTTCAGTTACAAAAATGCTGCAATCAAAAATACAGTTACTTGCCCCTCAAAAGCCTTTTACTGGAATTACAAAGCTCCAGATTAATGGCACAATGGATTTCTGCAGCTAAACGAGCTTGGAGGTAATCAAGTCCTACATTAATTAGGCTATGAATGTATTTTAACATAGATTTTTTGTTTGTTTGTTTGTTTTATTTGAAAGATTTTCATTCATCATAACAATTCAGAAATGTTAAGTTTGTATATTGTCAATTAGCATTAAATAGTGTAGATTGTAGAAACTAAAACCACAAAGTAAAGTTAAATGTTAAATGTTTTTTGTGTGTCTAGTAGCTTTTTTTCTTTCTTTAGCTGCTATGTAGCTACAGCACCTGCACATTAGAGCACATTGCATTTTCACTATTTTATCAATTTCACATAATTTAAACTGTCAGTATCAGTAACAGTATATGTACAGGGCTTCATAATGCAGTCTATTTTTCACAAACATCTTCAGGGACCCTTTTTAATGATATAAGAGGGTGAGAAGTAAACCAGATGTCCAGATATTGCAGAGTTAACGCAATATACCAGATCTATGTCTATATGATACTTTAAAATCACACCCATGCCAGGTAAGGGTCACTTATGTTTAATCTGATTAGTTTTAAGATAAATCAAATCATTGTCTATGATTTAATTTGATAATAATTTAAAAACTCCTAAAGGGGTGCCATTCATACATCAGATTTAGTCACGTGGGTGCAGGAGCTCTATACTTACTCACTTATTTACTTACTTATTGATTAAAGGGTCCATATTACATAATTTTTCCATCAATTGTGTTTTGTTTCATTCACAATTGATAACACAACCTGCATATTTAGGTTGAGTTCTTCTTAGAAACAGAAAACACCAGAATTTTAACCCTCAAACTGCCAATCTCGACTGATCAAAGTTTCAGTAAAGTAGCTGTTAACTTGAAAACTACAGCTACATGACATCACAAGGTAGAACAGACCATTTTGAACTTTGGAAATGTAGACAGACTAATTATTAAGGTTTACTTAAGCACGTGTGAATGAAACAAAACACAACTCCAGGTATGTTTTTGATGAGGTAACAACATTCTAACATGTCTTAAAGCTCACAAGAGTCAACTGTGTAATATAGGACCTTTAAATTTGACAGTGTAGAAGTAATAGTGGATTTCAATAACGAGTTACTAATCACCTT